ACATTTATTCTTTAAGCCATTACTTTTGATGATTTATTAATTTTAATTATTGAGTTATATTAAATAGTGAGTGCTTAACAGGGAAAATAATTGCATAAAACTTGAATTTATAATATTTATAGAGTGTTTATAAAAAATCATCAAAAATTTCAACATTGACTGGTTTGGGTGTACAAAGTCTAAAAATTAACAACCAAAATAAATTGCTAAATGAGTACCAATAGCACTCTACAAAAAAATAATCTTTACTTCAGTTATGACACTAAAGCAGTCTTCACACACTACAAAAATCACATTCCATACACACAAATTGCTTACACAAGCACTAGTGTTTTGCTTTCTTGGCATTTTATGCAGGAAATACTTGAGATCTTGCTTGTCTTTCTGTTTTTTCAGGCAGTTCTTATTGTGGTATGCAATGTGTAGTTAACAGGAGCATGAAACATCAGTGAAACAGAGGACTAAATATTTAATATGTATTGCATATTTAGAATAAGCATCAACATTTTCGTATCGGCTGTGTAGTTGGTTACAAAACTTAAGAGATCATGTCAGAAATACCCTATGTGAGTTACAGTATCAGCACAAACAAAAGTCTCCCAGAGAAATAAGCTTTGCTTCAACTGTCACACCCAAGGCAGTCTTCACACATGAAAATGACATGTTCTATACACAAGTTTGATCACATTGAGGGTATAAATGTTCTGTTTTCTTGTCTTGTTGGGAACATTTGACATCTTTTTATTCCTGTTGCTGTAGTAGGTCTTTGGGATGCTATACCTGCCTGTTCACCTGTCAGTTCACCAATGTGGTCCACATTTTTTGTGTAGATCCCTAGGAAGAAATATTTTGTATTTCCACTGCTGTAAATGATCCCTTATGAGTTCCAGTCCCAATCCTCAAAGAAAATTTCTCCATGGCATCTTACACTTCTTATGTCCTTTGTAAACTATCAAACTTTTTATGTCACACAAGTTTTGGATCATTGGCCAATGCTTTGTGTTTTGAGTGACATCCTAGTTACTACATAACTCATCAACAGTATCTATTCCACCTTTGGTGGTGGTGTACAACGTTTCCATCTTAGGCTTCTATTTTGCCAAGGTATCTCTATCAGAATTTCCATCACAGTGGAATATTAACATCAGCAGTACCAGTTTGTTTTTCTTTGCCATATAAAAGGTAATGTATGTCTTTGTGAAATACAAAGATTGTATGAGATAGAATTTTGTATTTTAAATTGCAGCATTTCATTTGGAATTTCTTCTTTGTTCCTGAGTACAGTTTCCATGTCCATCAAGTTGTGCTCTGACAAGAAATGTAACATCAATGGAAACTGGTAAATCAATTGTTGAATTTCACATTCCAATTAGTTTGAGAGATGGAAGCAACAACATTTAGAGTATTATTATATGAATAAAGAAGTGATGGTTGAGTTCTAGGATAAATTTCTAAATCAACCATAATAAATGCTCACATTTATAAGGACATAAATTTTTATACCATATTCTGACCCATTGCCTTTCCATCAGTTCTTTAATTTCTCTGATTACCATGAGAAATTCCTGCTAAGTATATTAGACCTATCAATGCTTTCAATTCGGCTAGTGAGAGGTTATAATGAACACATGTTTGAATATGGCTATGGGTGCATATGGAACATTTTATTTGTATACCAACCTTTGCACATTTTACAGAATCTTGTAGTATTTCATTTATTACAATTTATTCATTTATTACAATTCATTCATTTATTACAACACTGAATGTGTTGACATTTATCCAATGTTTCACACCTGCCAAGACCCTTACTATATTTTTAAACCTAGTTCTAACTTTCCATCCTTCTATTAGGTTGAATGACAATTTTTCAACATTCCAACTACTCCAATACATATTCACATTATCTTTATCATTTGAATCAAGGAGGTCAGCATTCCCTGTGCCTGTATCACTCAACTCTTGTTCCATTTCAATGTCACAGAAACTTTGGCTCACATGGCCAACATCAAAGTCATCATCATCACTATCATCATCATCATCATCATCATCATAATACATACACACCACTCCTCTTTATGAAAACATGTATTTCACCATAGTGGATCATCTTCATCATCTATGAGTAATTCATTGTTTTGTTTTGGTACCAGTAATTGAACTCATTACCTGCTGCTGGCCAGAGAGGCACTGTGCCACTGAGGTATATCCCTGACCCGGGATGATTCAACTTGACCTCCTCCAAAACTTGCAGGTCTTATTTTTTCATGTGCTATGTACTGATTTGGGGAACTTCTACCAGAAAAATCAAAAGAAAACTCATTTTAAAAAGCAAATCTTAGAGTGATATGTGTGTGTCTCTGTGATGTTCAGGTAGACAGCACCCTCCCAGAAGCATGCACCAAATCTGTTAGATGGAGGCACAAGTGAGTATAAATCCTAGTTTAACACATTTGCACATGTGCACACACCTTGCCTTTCATTGTACAATATGGGAGAACACAAAAATTGCTTCCTGTGTCCCTCAGGCCATTGCTGAGATACACAGCTGGCTACTATTATGCTAAAGTATAAATTGATGTTAGAAAAGTAAGGGATGTGTTTGTGGAACCCAGGGTTGTGCTCCATGTTAATGCTTGGTTCCTGTGGACCAGACTGAGGTGAGCCACCGGGGGAAATCCAGATCTTACCATCTTAGCTGTTTAGTTGCTGTGGGAAGCAGAAATGGGAAGTCTATCATTCATTCCACCACTTCTTCTGGAGAAGAAATTATTATGTATCTGTGCCAGATCCTGATTTCCTCAAATCATCCTTACCTTTTATAAAAATTGTAGAAGAAGTCAAGGTTTTTCCTACTTTTGGGCTTCTAGGAGGGTGCTGTCTACTGATCTGAGGCAGAGCTGGATTGCCAAGCTCTCTGTGTGGAATAATGTGGTCAGAAAAGGGAAGTCTTTCTCCCACACTTTCAGGTTTTTAATCCACAAATATTTGGGATCAAATCACAGCCAATTCAGAAGTTCTAGTTGAATTCTCTTTGCTGTCACAAGATGAGGTATGGGGGCCTTGCTGGACAGTAGCATTAGCAGGAAGTAACCCCAAAGACAGGTATCAGTGAGGATTCTCCCAGAGCCTCTGTCCTGTGCTTGAGAGGAGCCCAGGGAACCTCAAGGGAAAGGAATCCTTCAAACACTGATTCATATAGGGCACATCTTCATAGTTATTGGGCTATAAATTACTACAAGAGAATTCTTGTAATAATGGAAAGGTAGAGTTTAGGAGAAATATTTCAATAATTCTGCACTAATAGATTGAAGACTGAAAAGGCAGTCACCCTCTCTATGTTCCACCTTCTGCTTTCTAAGCTGGGAAATACACACACACACACACACACACACACACACACACACACGCACACACGCACACACACACATGCACACACGCATACACACATTCAGGATATGCTGGTTTCTGATCCATTACTTAGTCAGGTCATGCTGTCACTGATCTGGATATTAGCAATGCCTATGAAGTGTATTAAAGGAACAGTGATAAAGTTTCACTGTCAATGTCCAAATTGGAGATTCAATAACATCATTACTAAAACACTGCTAACTAAGGTCAGGTACACAGGAAAATAAAGACTTTTGGGTGAGACTAATTATTTTCTCAATTCTGAATACTTAGTTGTCCTCCAGTCAGACTATGGGGAAAAATCTGGCTAAGATAACCTTGAGAGTTTTCACAGCTACACTCTAATATGTAGCCAAAATCCACGAAAAGTGCTTCAGAGAAGTCTCACTTTTCATTGGATCTATACTAGAGGCTTAACAGAGTCCACCCACTTTTATAATACTACTTTGAGTTGAATTTATTGGGAATTAAAGTTTTCATAATAGGACTGGGGAGGCAGCTCAGTAGGAGTTGTTCCCTAGGACGGAAGAAGTCTTGTGTTCAACACTGAGCTCCACAGAATATGACATGTGATACACAGAGATAATTATTAAAACCCGAAGAGCAACGTATCTAACACAACTGTATAGATAAACTGGAAGTGTTTATGCCAGCACTCTCCTTAAACTCTCAGATTGGTAGTAACTCAAAAGTCCATTTGATTAGAAGGATTGAATATAATATATGAATGTAGTGAAATTCTTTCAATCGAGAAACAAATCACTGATACAGGACACAACCATGAGAATTCACACACACGTCCACCCATTATCCACCCACTCATATTATGTAAGCAAATAGATTGTGCACAAGAAGCCAGACACATAAAGCACAGGCTGAATATTTGAAATTACATCAAAGGAAGAAACAGACAAATCCAATCAGTGATAACAGCAGTCAACATAGTGCTTACTTTGAGTGGGGGAAGAAACTAGGCAGGGATGTTTCTGGGATTTTTATTTTTCTTGTGCTTAGGACAACAAACTCAAAAATGCATATATGCATGCAGATGATATATCTGTCACTGAATTAAGCTTGCAGTCCTGGAGATTTCCTGATTTCACTGGCTGTCACAGGAGTTTATTTTTCTTGCTAAAAGTAAGCAATTATATTTTGAAATCTAAACAGTTTTGTCTACATATGTTTTGCTTCACTATTGTTTATATTTTTGAACAATATAAAAAGATTCTTGTTATAAATCTATTACATGATTTTAAAACTTAGATATATAAAGATACAAGAACGGACAGCATAAGAAATTTAAAACCCAAAGACACATGTAATGGTAAGAGAATGCATTTCATTGTAAATGTTTTCCAGGGGAAAAATTCACTGAGAAATTCTGTTCAATCTGGGTGGCAGACATAATTCCAGTTTGTCACAAACTCTTTCAAGTAGCAAAGTACACACTCCAGCATGACTTTGACACCTCTCTTGTTGTCTGGAGGCCTCACTGAAAGTGCACAAGAGGGAAGTTTTGAAGAGTGAGCTCCATAAACTCCCCAGCGGAGGCTGCTTTGGGTCATAAATTGCATTTATGTGCACAATTACTGTAATGTCCACACCCACTGGCTTCCTCTTGGAACCACCCTTATATTCTCAGCCCAGCCTTCCTACAGTGTGGTTACTCGTGGTCCTGGAGATGTTTCTTGAGGTTCTGCTGCTGCTACTCTCCAGGGTGAGGCAAGGTAAGAGGACTAGGAGCCAGAGGGGACCCGGTGGAAATGGAGGCCAGTGTCCCAGTTCCTTTTTCTTTCCAGATGCTTTGGCTGTGGATTCACAATATCGCCTTGAAGTGCAAGGCTCTGTGACAGTACAGGAAAGATTGTGTGTCTCTGTACCCTGTGCTGTTTTCTACCCTTGGAATTCCCAGAAACAATCTGACCCAGCTGCTTTGCGTCTCTTTGATTTCTCCTCCTGATGCCCACTAGGTCTTCTGATCACTGTCCCTTCTTCCTTGTGAAATACTCTGCTACAGTTGTCAGGTAGCTCCTTTGGAAATGGCCTGCCCCCAAATATTCTAGGTCCTTCTGCCTTCAAAAAAGATTTGTAGGAGACAAGTCCAAAGTGGTGGTAAAAGTTTATTTGAAAAGAATGGGGGAGGGTTAAGGGAATAACTTGCTCTTCAGAGCAAACTTGAGCAAAAGAGAAAGAGAAAGGGGAAAAGGAGCAAAGCTGAAACTAGTCCTCTGTGGGAAATCTGGGGTTGGCTACTAGGAGGAGTTACTTGAGCCAGCCCTTCCTGGTGTCTGGTACTCTTCATGCTGTCCACATTTGGTCGGTGCTGGTGAGGAGTTCTATATACCGGCTCCTAAGAATCAGCTGCCCTGGGAACTTGAAATTGACAGGCCCCACCACTTCTCCAGTCAGCTTTGCAGCACCCTACCTCCTGTATCACTGCCAATTTCTTGTTGTTTGTATTCACCTCCCTTTGCCTGGGCCACATTGGGTCAGTCTCCCTGGTAGTTCTGGCTGTCCCCCAGCTCTGCCCTTAGGATGCTCCCCCAAGTGAACTCAGCAATTTCACTGCTCGGCTCTGAGCGCTGCCTTGGGGGCTTCAATGGGAACTCTGCTCTGAGTTGCATTCAAACATCGTACTGTCGTGCCTGGTGCAGGCCATGTGGTATATTCCTTCCTCTCCGAGGTGGCCTTGAATCAGTGAGCTCTTCCATTCCTATTCTCTCACTAACCCTGGACTTCAGCTCCTTGCCATGTCCCCTTATTCCTCCTCATGTTCTATGGCTCTTCTTCCCAGAGTGTCCTGTGACATCTGTGACCCTTATAGCACAGCCCAGATGTTTGTCCTGGCTTGGAGTGGGACCTGGGGTTCCTTTATTCTCTCAGGCCAACTTCCTGGCTCACTATGTTCCAGCAACTCTGTGATCCATGGTGGGCCCCCAGATCTATGTGCAGGGCCCTCCATTTGCTAGGCTGTCTCAGTACCTCTGCACCACTTCCCCACCTGAGATGCTCACGTGCCATGTGTCCCCATGACCAAGCTCCCTCCTCCCAATCTCCTAGCCTCTTTCCCCCAGGGTTTCCCACACACTTGCCTCCTGGATTTGGGTATCCATGTTTGCAGGAAAGCTAGTCATGTGTCCTAATTCTTTTTGATCAGAAGAGGAGGGATGGCAGGGCTGTCTGCTCTACCTTCTATGATCTCTCTCTGTCTCTGTCTCTGTCTCTGTCTCTCTCTCAGTGCCCTAGTCCCAGTGACCATGAGCAATGGCTCATCCCTGACCATCATTGAGGGTCAGTTCCTGAACCTGGTCTGCGTGGCTGACAGCAACCCCTCGCCCCCTGCATCTCTGAGCTGGTTACAGAAGAGAAAGGGCCTGAGTTCCTCTCAGGTCTCAGCATCTGGGGTCCTGGAGCTGTCCCCTGTAGGGTCTGAGGATGGAGGTGAATTTACCTGCCAAGTTCATCACCCTCTGGGCTCCCAGTGCTTTTCTTTACACCTATTTGTGCAGAGTGAGTAACAGGACATGAGCTGGGTGACAGACTTGCTGGTGTTTAGGATGGGGAGGGACCAAGGCTTCAGAGAAAATGCCATTACCTTCCCTTCTAGAATGCCCATCTTTCTACCTGTGTGCATCTGAGAAGCAGGAGGGCTTCTGTCTCGTGATCCTCCCTCTTGTCACTGTGCTTGCCATGGGAGGCAGCATCGTCCTCACCTATGTCCTCACATGGGCATACTACACCAGGTGAGCATGCTGGCCCTCTTCCGTGTGCCCTGTGACAGGTCTCCTGGTTCAGGATTGGGTTGAGCTGACTTGCCCTGCCTGGTATTGCAATGAACCCAGCTGACACTGAACTGAGACCAGCGTGGATCCTGCAGGCGTGGCAATGCCTGTGGGCCTACAAGCGTGAGTCCTAGCTGATCACTCTCTTTTTGATTCTGGACTGAGCCATGGACATGAAGATCCTCTGGACAGATGTGGGGATGTTCCTGTTTTCCCTGGAAATTGTCAAATCACATCAACAGTGACCTCAAGAACCGGTCCCTGTGTTCCACATCCAGTCCTCAGGCAAGTGCCAGATTTTGGGGACTTCTCCAATTGCTACCCCAAAGTTACCTGCTGAAGCTTTTGTAAATGGGGAGGCGATGAGTGGTTGAGGGCGGGGAAGGGGAAAAATCAAGTTCTCTCACAAGCAGGTACAAATTTTCTCCAATGAATGTGACCCATTATGTATATCTAAAATGTACCAATAAAATCTGATTTTAAAAAAGCAGACAGTTACCTTAAAGGACTGCACTGTTTTTAAGTCAACTGGCAGGTTACAGGATCCTGAGGGAGTGTCTTAATACAGGAGAAAACTAGAGGCGCCATTTCTGTGAATGCTTTTTACTTCCCTATAGATTTTACTGAGTCACTGCCCACTTGAGCCACCAGTGCCTGTGCCTGGACTGAGCAGTCCCTCTTCCCTCTGACTGACCCCAGTGCCCTCTTTCCTGCCCATCACCGGAGCAGCTATTCCATCGTGCCTGCAAGCTGACCAGAGAGATCACTGGGCTGCTTTGTGGTATCCTTTAAGGTGGAAACACAAAATGAATTCTCGAAAGTGCCATTCTAGTTCACTTGCTGATGGAACTCCAACCTCCATGGCATCTTCACAGAAGCCTCAAGATGCCACTGAAAACTCATCTTTTCATCCCAATATATAAAAACCCCTGTTGGGGCAGAAAGCCCCTGGTTGTGCCTTTTCCCTGTGACAGCTATGACTCCTGTGCAGCACTGTTTCAGCTGTGCACTGATGCACATCCAGGTCATCAAAACCCATTCATTCTTCCTCCATCTGGTGTAAGCCAGCTGGACACCAACTAGGTGGTGTCACTGCTAGATGTGCTGTAGTTGTACCAGGCAGTGACACTGAGCCAGGGGCCTTTGCTAGGCTGGATGTGTGACATCTCACTGTTCCTCCATACAGACCTCTCCCCATCACAGTGCCCAAGACTGATGACCCAGCAGCCCAGGGATGCCTGGGCAGGAGCAGGGCTGCTAGGCCTCCCAATCATCTGAGAACATCTCATCTATATTCTGTGGATGTAGTAGTGATGGGCAGAATTCATCCTCAACAGAATAAGATAAAGAATGATAAACACTTTAATCAAACAGTGCTGTGTCTGCATAGGGAACTGTCTGAGGCTGAGCTCGGAGGCTCCTTTCTTACAGCTGTTCACTACGTGTGTCAGGGACAACTTCCTTATCTGTGTGATGGGGAGGCATCATCCCCTAGGTCAGGGGTGTTGGGAGAACAAAGTGGTGACTCAATCACTTTTTTCATCAAGAAGATACAACACCCACCACTTGCAGCTTGAATGGTGCAGGTTGATTTTAGTTCACATGTTTAGTCCGTCCACAGTCCATGGGCTCCAAGGCAGAATGGCACGGTACAGGGAAAACAGTGCTCGTGTCAAGGCAGCCAGGAAGAGGCAAGTGAAGGGAGGACTTGGGGAGGGAGATACCCTTCAGGTGCCCCTCCCCCAGAGACCCATCTCTTTTGCCCAGATCCTGCCTCCTAACAAGAAAGCAACTACACCACATCCATCATTGAATCACTTCCCCATATCCCCTCCTAAGAACATACTTGAGAGCATCTAGAGATAAGCATAACAAATGGGAATGTATCTGGAGGAGGGCAGCACAGTGTCTCCACATTTCCTCCCTTCGAATGGACACTGCATCCTGGGATTGTTCTTGAGGATGGTGAGAACACAAGAAAGACAAGCAGATTTTCCCATGTCCTGAGTGCCTCTATTCGGGTGGACCTGGGCTCCCCCTGAGACATTTGGCATGCTGAACCTCTGGCTGCAGACCTTGGCCCCTGCATTTGCAATCAGGAGCTTCGGTAAAGATATAGATGTCTGCAGAGGCAGGACTCACCCTGCATCTCTGTCTCCGACAGCCCAGCCACCCTAATGTAGAGAACTTCAGGCCAAGATCATGTAAAGTCTGTCCTGGGCAGAGGGAGATGCCCATGGGCAGTGCCCTGACTCCTGCTGGGACACAGTTGGGTTGTTCATACACTGAGGACAGAACTCGTAGCTGCTTGAGGACTGCTGTGTGGTGAGACAGTGAGGTCATTCATGTTCATCACAGCTGCCAAACTCCATACAGTGTCCACTCTGCCTGTTCATTCCTGAGGATTCACTTTCCACTCCAGGACAGGGAGATCCATACCCATCCCTGATTGGTGCTTCCTCCCCCTGGGTCATCTACTCGGAGGCCCTGAGACTGGCAGGCAACTCTATCCTAACCACATGCTGTCTTTCAGAGACCACTTACTCGCTCCCTTTGAGTCTCTTTGCAGGACCCCTGAAGTCACTGTGTACATGTGTGTCACCTGGCTTCTGAATGAATGAATCAGCTTCCTTCATCTCAAGGGACCGACTTGACAATTCCTTCCTCAGAGCCAAATCAGTGCTTTGCCAAGACTGATGAAATAGCTTCCCATACAGACAATGGTGTATGAGGTAAGGTATTTGTGTGACTGGGTGCAATTTACTTGCTCCTTAGTCCATTTGGACCCCTACCAACAGATACATACATACAGAAGAAATTGCACCTCCCAAAATTTTATTTCTTACAGTTCTGGGGATTGGGAAGTCCAAAGCGAGGACATGGGCAGGTTCAATGTTTGGTGAGGGCATGCTTCTCAGAGATGGTGCCTTCCTGTTGTATCTTCATGTGATGTCAAGGCAAGCAAGCTTTCTTTGTCTCTTTTATAAAGGCACCAATTCTATAGATGATAGTGCAGCCTGCATGGTGAAAATACCTCCCACTGAACTCCAGCACCATTTCCATCAGCATCTGGGTTAGGATTTCAACACAGGAATTATGGAGGGACAGTAACATGCGTATTTATGACCCGGCACTCTAGACCTCCAGGTCCACTTTAGAAAATTGGGGAAGTGGTTTGAGAGGGCCTCTCTGCGATCCTGACCAGTAGACTTAAGTTCATCTTTTGTCTATAAGTTTTGGGTAGAATTTCCGAGTCTTTCCTTCCCTTTCTTTTTCTTTTCTTTAATAACTTGTGACTGTGGGAAACAGATATGTCATTGCCCAGCCCTCTGACTCCTAGGATGCTGACAGCATAGAGTGCTGATGAAATAATGGCACCCAGGATGGCCACAGGATGAGATCCCAGCTGAATACAGGGAAGTGGTGACTGAGTGAGTGCACTCACGAGTGTGTGTGTGTGTGTGTGTGTGTGTGTGTGTGTGTGTGTGGTGTGCCTACACACACTAAAGCCTTCAGACTTCCTCCTCAACTCTCATAGTCAACCGTTTCATGCAGACTATGGATTAGGGAACAGGATAATATTGGATGAACAGATCTGTGAGAATGAATGGGAAAATAATCGCATGTTTCTAAATAAACAATCTTGCACAAACTTGTTCAAAGTTACAGTTTTACAGGTGCTATGCTGAGACCATAACTATGGAATATAAGCAAGATAGTAGTGGTCAAACAAGGTCAGGGTCTTCTTGGGGAGGGAGTGGATGTGGCCATAAGGCAGGTAGAACAGGAGATCTCTTGTGTGACACAGGTTTGGAAATCACAGGCAAATGTGTCTATTTATACTGGCAAATTTCCTCAGATGGAACATCTATGCTCAGCACCATGCTGATTTAATTCAGCTAGCATTAAGTTGACCACCAGTTTTTAATCCATAACAACCTTCAAACCTTTAACCTCTGGCTGTCTGGACATGGGAGTAGCTCAGAGACTATGCATCCCACAAGGTTTTGGGTCTGCCTTGTCTGGGACTCTTAGGGTGCAACAATCCTGCCAGCAAGTCTGAAGCCCAGGGAGGCTTGGTCTACATCTCCTAAAAGGCCATGTGTACCTTGTACTTTGCAGAATACTGTTCTCAAAATGCACAAGTTAGTTTACATTTTGTGCCTTCCCATGTGGATGAGAAGTGAGAGAACCACGTATATTATGGTTGCTATGGCAGCTGATGTCACCAGGCTGAATGCTTGAAAGGAGATAGGGCTGAATTCTGACTCCCTGGTTTTGTGGGATTATTAAAGGATTTTAAACTAATTATAGTTTCCGATTTCTAACCTTTGAGGAAAAGTTAGAAGTGGCAATTGAGGGTGGAAGTGTGGAAGGTTGGTTGCTTACACAAACACTGAATTAGGTCATGAGGGTGATCCAAAGTTAATAGATGCCCAGGCTGGGTGGGAGTGTGCAGGTATGCTTGAGAGAAAGAGAGAGAGATCTGGTGTGAAGGTTTTCTGTGGGCACTCGGCTCTCACAATCTGGATTGGAGTTTTTCAGTAGTAGCTGCAATTTAGGCCCACAGACAGACTACCTATGACTTTCACATGTAAATGAAGATGGAACTCAAGGGTGCAGGACAGGTGAGAGGCCTTGATGGACTCAGCAGACCCTGTAGACTCTCTGCTTCGAAGACTGAAGAAGGCAGTCTCCCTTGCGTCTTCCCTGCTAATGTTGTGCTCTCTTGAATCTTTCCGAAGTGTTCTCAGATCTTGTCTCTACATCTCAAGACCTTCCTTGGCACCCCACTGCCTTGGTAAAGTTAAACTCCTTAGTGTGCATATGGTGGCCCTCCCCACTTTCTAGTATAATAATGTGTTGTCCTTTGCAGAGTTTCTTAGCCCTTGTCCCGAGAAATTCATGCTTGGTAGAGGAAACAATGGCCTGCCAGGGCTTAGTTTCTAAGCATGGATCCTTTGGTCTGGGCAGCATCACTGAATCCTGAGGGCTGATCACTCCATCTAGTCTTTGTGACTGAAAATGCTCACCTCAGTATCTTTCCAGGGCTGGAGAGAACTGTGGCAAGAATAGAGTTCATCCACTGAGCTCAGCAGCATCGCTCACAAGGGAAACAGGTGTGTGTGTGTGTGCGCGCGCTTGTGTGTGAGTGTGTGTGTGTGTGTTTCTCTCATTGCAGAGTATTCAGGTACTCCTCAATTTTGATCAGATGTCCCCTTCCAGGTACCTTCTAATCCATTTTTGTGGATAACTACAAGGCAGTAGGTCCATGGTGGTTCCCACAGCACGGCTAAGGAACTGCACGTCCTGTCACCAGGTCAGTCTGAGGAGGTTCACTTGATGTTTGGGCAGCTTGGAGAAGAGACACAGAGTCACGAATGTTTACACAGGCCTTTATTGTCAGTTGTGCAGCTCAGCCTGCACATTCGTGTAGCAGTCTTCAGGCTTCCAGCCCACCTTTGTTGTCCAGAGCCACTCTTAGCTATTTCTGCACCATCTCTGTTGGACTTGGCCATTTAGTCTCCTGTCAGCTCACGTGACAGTCCACACTTATACCACAATATGAAACAGGGATAGGTGCCACTAATGACCTTGATAATGGAAGTTATTTCCACCATCCAGCATCGAACTTTGTTTTATCTGTTAGTATGTAGCTGGGCCCAAGGAGGTGCACTTGTGCTGAAATCTGCTGGTTTGGACTTAATGTTCACCTGCTTCACACATGGAGCCTGAACCAAAGTGTAGCCCTTTTAGGCTTCATGTTTCTTTACTCTGCACTGTGAATGAGCTCTCTGGAAATCCTCTGTCCAACCTTGATGTGCCACAAGGAGGCACAAGTCAGGTAGTTCTAAACTAAATCTGGGCCTTCTTTAATTACTCCCATATTGTACCAGCTCTTTCTAAGAAACTGAGAAACTCAGCCTTTGAACTCAGACCAAGGGAGCTAAGTTGGGCTCACGAACAGGGTAGTGGGTCAACCTGACGGAAGACAGGCACAGTGTCCCTGGCTTTATACTCCTCTCTTTGTATTGTGAGAAATTTCTCACATCTTTGGAAACACCTCACACATTTCTACATAGGAAGCATGGCTGCTCTGTGTCAGGGACAGGCATCACTGGGATAGATGACCTGAGTCTGACCCGGGTGCCCCCTAAATCTCAAATGTGAGAGCCTGCAGCTCTCTTGATAAAATTTGTGGGAAATTTGAGAGTGGGGTGAAGAATTATCTTGCCAAGTCATGGAGTTGAAGAAAATAGTTGCAAAATTGATACATAACAAAGAATTTATAAAGTATTTGTATTGTATAGAAGGGTTCTGTTCTGATAAATTCAGATCTATTTTCTTACTGACTGTCTTAGGTACTTTTATGTTCATCGCTGAGACAAAATACCTGATGCCCAATTTCTTACAAATTTTTGGAGGTTTCAGTCCACACTCAGTTGGCTCCAAGACAGGCGGGCATGGCTGGGCTGCAGTTCATGGCGGCCGCCAACAGCAAGCTCGAACCGGCAAAAAGAGCAAGACACACCTTCTTCCTGCCATTACATCACATCCTGGCTCCACCCCTAAGTGGGTGTAGCACTGACACCATCAATCCAAGCACTATACAATGAACGAATAAAAAATGCAGAATTTAAACTCATGAGGCCTGGGGGACACAAACATAAACTATGACACTGACTGTGGACTCACAGTAAAAATATCCTCTATATATGTGTGTGCTCAATACTCAAAGGGTTCAGACATGGTGACTGATGAGCATAATCCAAGCTATTTAGAAGGCTGGGCCAGGAAGATGGCAAGTTCAAAATCAGCCTGGGAAAATTAACAAGACACTGTCTGAAGATAAAATGAATTTAAAAGTTGTCTAGGTTTTGCTCTGTGGTAGACTTCCCCTGATTTTATTTCTTATCAAAGACAAAATGTAGTAGGGCAAATTGGTAACAATACAATACTCTCAGAATAAAAAGGACTGGTGATGGAACTCAGTGTGAAGGTCATGGGTTCGATCCCCAATGCCCCTTTCACCCTGAAAAATGAATGACACCAGAAAACCTCAATAAGAAAGCAATAGAATATAAAAAGATGAGTTTGATACTCACTTCTGGACACAAGAGTAACATACATAGTGTGTCACTCATTCAAGAAGTGCAAAATGCCAGGTGTGGTGGCACTTGTCTGTGATCCCAGTCCTTGGAGACACAGGCAAGAAAGAGACCATGATTAGAGGCAAGTCAGGGTTACATGATGAGTTCAAGGTCAGCCTGCACTGCATAGAGACACTACCAAAAACAAAATAAGTAACAACCATGGCCACAGTGAGCTCACATGAAAGAAAACAGCTAGAATCAAGGAGACCAGGCATGTTGAGTATTGGAGAAGTTGTGGAAAAACTGAAAATCATGGACTCTCCTGGTGACAATGTAAAATTCTACAGGCACATTGGTGGACAATGCTGCCAGTTTCTGCAGAACATGCCTATTCTGTGGCTTTTCAGGTGCATTCCTAAGTGTGTCCCTGGGAGAATGGAGAGCACGGGTCTGCATAGATGTTTGTGCGTGGATATTTCAGCAACATAGGCTGCTCCAACCAGAAACAACCTGGACGTCCAAAGCCAGGTAAAACTGCATGTACCCCTCCCTGGGATGCAACTCAGCAATAATTTTTTAAAAAACGAACAACCTGATGGTACATGCTACCACATTAATGAAGGTTAATTATGCTATTGAATGTGAACAGTGGGGGGGGACCTAGAGCACGTGTGCTAGAGCAAGGTGTTACTGAAAGCTGCAAAAAATTCATCGTCACTGGCCTAGAAGAAAAGCCCATACTGTGTGATTCACCTTGTATTAGGAAATATAGTTTAGGAAACAATGTAACTCACTGTGACATGAAATCATGTATGGGGAAACAGAAAGATGGGAGTTCTAGCTTCATGAGAGAATCGGGAAGTGAAAGCGGTCTTTGTTCTCTTGATTATAGTGATGGCTTTCTGGGTGTGTACATTTCAAAACAGAACTGAATCCTCTTCATTCTCCTTTCACGCCTGTCCCCACACCCTTCTTCTTCATTTTCCTCCCTCCCATGAAGTGTCTCCTTTCTCTGCCTCTCCCTCTGACAAGGAGAAACTTTTGCTGCTCAGTCTCGTGATAGGTGACTGTACCTGGAAGCATGATTTGGTGAGCTGGTTTCCACTTCTACCCACAGTGAGCTGAAAGTAGAATCTGCCATCTCATTGAGAATCATACACAAGAGTTAAAGCATCATATTACATGAATCCCTGTAAGATAGCCATCTTTGTAAGAGTACAGCTAGGGGCTGGGGATTTAGCTCACCGGCATAAGCACCTGCCTTGCAAGCAGGCAGTCGTGAGTTCGATCCCTGGTACCGGTAGAAACGAAAAAGACAAAAAAAAAAAAAAAAAAAAAAAGAGTACAGCTAATAATAGCTGAATATTGGAAGCACCTATATGTCCATCAACAAATGAATGGAGAAAATACGATATTTACACACAATAAAGTACTACTTTGCCACAAAGAATGATAAACCAGTGATCCACAGGAAAATGGGTGTACCCTGGTGCTATAATGTTAAGAGAAATAAATCAGACACTAGGTTAAATAGCAGTAGTTTCTTTTAATTAGAAACTTAAAGAAAAAAATAAAGACCAAAATAAAAGATAGACAGGAAGTAGGGAGATAGATCATTCTCAAAGGGAACGGGAGCTCAAAAGATGAGGGAGAAAGAGGAAAAGGGAATGGAAAAGGAATTAAAATATGTTAGGTACATGTGCACTTCATGCATAGGCTATAAACAGTATGTATTACAAACATGTATATGAAAAGGTAGGCAATCAGGAGATGGGTGTAATAGGCAAGGAAAGGGAAGGGAGAGTCCAAAGGAATGACAGTATATTATGGACATATAGCTACTCCTCACAAGGAATGTGAAAATTCTGTACTACAAACATAGACCAATTAAAAAGGGATTGAAAGCATCCACAAAAAGTATGCAAACTGCTACACAATCACATGCTTAACACTCATTTGTTGAAATCTGAACCTTCTGTGCTGGAAAACTTGGCTCTCTAAATGTGGAATAATAAAACTAGACATAGGTTTATCACTATGCACTAAAGTCAAAATGGATCAAAGATTTAAATACTAAAACAGAAACACTAAATCTCCTGGAAGACAAAGTAGGTAGAAGTCTTGAAGATATAGATGTAGAGAGAGAGTTCATAGATAAAACTCAGACGCCATGTGAAACACTTCAGATCAACAACTGGGACCTCATCTTATTAAAAAATGTTTGCACATCAAAAGAAATCATCAACAGAGTGAAAAACAATCCACATAGTGGAAAGATATTTTAGGCAACTGTCCCTCAAAGGATTTATATCTAGAACAAAAACTCTGAAAAAAAGTAGACCCTCTCAAATGCAAAGATCCATTCCAAAGATGGGAATCTGAGCTGAATATACACTTCACAGAGGCAGAAATACAAATGGCAAATAAATATAATAAAAAGTGTTCAACATCATTGGTCATTCGAGAAATCCAAATTAAAGTAACACTGAAATTCTCTCTCACATCAGAAAGAATGATTATCATAAAGAAATCAGCCAATAACAAATACTGGTGGGGCTGTGTGGAAAAAGGATTGATTCTCCACTGTTGGTTGGAGTGGGAACTGGTGCAACCCACTGTGGAGATCAGTATGGAGATAACTCAAAAAGCTAGGATTAAGCATCTTCTCTGACCCAGCTAGTCCCCTTCTGGGTATCTTCTCAGAAGAATTAAAAATATCATACCACAGCAATACATTTGCACACATGTTTATAGTAGCACAATTTTTAAAACTACATCTTGGAAACAACCCAAATGCCACGATCCAAATGAGGAGTGGATAAAAAAGATTGTATGAGGGGCTGGGGATTTAGCTCAGCGGCATAAGTGCCTGCCTTGCAAGCAGGCAGTCATGAGTTCGATCCCTGGTACCGATAAAAAAAGGGAAAAGGAAAAAGAAAAAAAAAAAAGATTGTACGAGGGGCTGGGGATTTAGCTCAGTGGCATAAGCACCTGCCTTGCAAGCAGGTGATCATGAGTTCGATCCCCGGTACCGATAAAAAGAAAAAAAAAAGTGTAAAAAAAAAAAAAAGATTGTCTAATACATATATATTAGAGTACTATTCAGCCATAAAGAATCATAAACTGGAGACTTTTATAGGTAAATGTATACTTGAGACCATCCTCCTAAGTGAAATGTCAGATTTGCATGTGTAAACATAATATTGTCTCCCTAGTGTGAGAAAATGAAAGAGTAAATAAGGTATAAACTATATAATAAATGCTGTAAAATGGGAAGAAATGTCCAAAAGGAAAAGGGAACTGGGATGGGAAAAATGGAAAGGAAGGAAGAGAATAGGTAATCTAGGTGGAAGCATGTTTTTTAAAATCTAAATTAAACTTTGATCAAATGATCCAAAATTGTAAAAGATAGATTGCTGAACTCAAAAAAAGGCCAGCTGGATATGACAAACAGACAAAGAAAGACAGAGAAACAAGTACACAGATTAAGAAACTGGACAGACATCTTTACAAAATCAAAGTGCAGGGTCGGGGATTTTGCTCAGTGGTATATAGGCCTGCCTGGCAAATGTGAGGTTGTGAGTTCGATTCCCAGTACCAAAACAAAACAAACAACAACAACAACAAAAAACCACAAAAAACAAAAAACCCCACAAAAACTCAAAGTGCACACACACTTTGACCAAACTGAATTATAATAACTTTTTACAATTTTAGAAGCTATAAGTATAAACACACAGTCAGATTTTGTTGTACATAAATTAGCAGAGATCTCCTGCAAGAGGAATTTGGAAGGGACAACATTTTATCTATAATTAATATATGTTTTTGTATTTTATGATTACTAGTAACTTTTGTATTTCCTTCTTTTATATAACTTTTAGTTTGGTTATTTCTATACATTCATTCACTTACTCAGACCTTTGATTCCTCTTTTTGGTTACCATCTCCTGGATATCTTGGGTTAATTCTTTTAACTGGCCCCAGGTCAGGTCTAACCCCATCCTTTTGTATTGGTTGTTGCGTGGTCTTTGAGGCATCACTGTCATAGGACTAAGCATCAGCTTCTTGAGAGGTGAAATCAACTCCTTCTCTGGGTTTGGGTCAATGATATAGTCAGACAAGAAGTTCTGGTACCCAGATAGGCCATTCAGCATTTTTTTTTTTTGCAAAAACACAAGTTTATCCTTTACTCAAACTAGCACTGGATCGGGTGCTCTTATTGTCCACCATGAAGATCTCTCTAAAGGACTCCTTTTAGTTTTTTTTTTTTTTCTTTTTACCTGATTGAATTGCCTTTCTGCTGTGGTAGTTTCATCTTTATTGGACTTTTAAAAGTTAATAGTATGTACTGTCAAGTGAAATCTATTATGAGGTGTAAATTTTTTAGGTAAAATTCCACTTTTTGTTTTTGTAGTTGAATTGAGCATACAGTGAATATGTTTAACAATTTTTAGACCTTCAGGATTATAAGGAATTTCTGTGGTAAGAGCCTTAAGTGCAGAGAAAAACTGAATATTGCATTCGGGCTCCCAGGGCTCTGTCTTGCCATTTGTTGTTCCTATCTTGGGCTGTGGCTCCACTCTTGACTATGGGTGTGGCTAGCTGGTGGCTCCACTTGCTGGAGGGCAGCACCAAAATCTAGGGCCATTGCAGGGATGCCTGCAGCCACTGTAGCAGCTGACTGGCCCAGAGGCTGGGCGTGCTGGTTGTGCTCACACTTTGGCCTGGAGGCCCTGCTGCTGTTGGGTGTCTGAGCACAGGGGTCACCACTGCAGCATAAACTTTCAGTGCATGGAGCATAGACACAGGTGGTGAGGACAGCCAGGGTGGCTTAGTGCATTAGAGCAGTGTCCTGCATTCCCAGCCTGAAGGTTGAAGTGCTGCCAGCAGGCTGGCTATTTGAAGGCTCAGCAGCCCCAGTGGAGTTCACACCACAGCAGGTACAAGCAGGGCCAGCCAGGCTTTTGTCCCTCAGCCTGCAGTGCAAGTTCCTGGAAGCCTCCTGCTTCACCAAGCCAAGCATTGCTGGCCACCCCAGGGCAGCTCTCTGTGCCCTACACTATTTATTTGCATTCTTAAAGGTTCGTCATTGAATCACTAACCTGCTAGCCTCTTATACTTCTCACTAGTTTATAGTAAGTGTGCTGTAAAATCCTGAGATGGTTTACACTGACCCTGTTGTCAGGGTCAAATCAAAGGATGTCTCACCCATTGAAGGAATTTCCTCCAAGCCCTTGTGGCTGTATTTTTAAATTGGTTATCTATGTATAATTCAAAAGTGAGTTGATGGTGGCAGCAAAGGCACCTTCTCTGATTAACATATCTTTTGTAGTGGCTCTGTTGACAGTAGCATTGTTTCTGGCTTGATCTGTGTACAACTTAAAAAATTTTCCACAACAAATAATGTCCCAGACTTAAATATATTTTAGCTTTTGCTTTTCAATCGTTTGGGACCATAATATGTTGTCCTGGGAGCTTTATGAAACCCAAGGTAAATAGGGCTGCAGGGTCCTAGGTGGCAGTAGCTTGTTTTAATTCTTTTAAGGACTTAAAAGGTCACTTCATGCTGATGCATAACCCATCCTTGACTACTGGGAACTTGAAATTCAGTGACCTGGTAGATATGTTGAAAACTCCCATGTATTCTCCCGCCTATCTGACTTCTCTTAGCCAGTTTGCAAGGGAGAGAGAAGAGGCAAAAATTCCAATCTGTGACTTGGCAAAAGTTCTCTGAGCTGAGAAAGTGGAAATTGTTTCTTGTGGCTCAGTTAAAGTTATGGGATGTTGTAAAATGGAATTTGCTGCAAAAACACTCTTGTAGTGGGGAAGAGTTACATCCTGTCACTCCTTACCTAAGTGAGCAAGTTTAGAGAGCTTAAACTGTATCAGGGTTCCTGTTGCTCTGCTGTCTTTTTCCTGCTTGGGACTTGATTTTAAAATAGTGCTCCCAGCCAATCCTTTGTGGCTATCTCAATGAACTTGCAATCGAGATACTTTCTAATTAAAGTTCACAAAAGAAAAGTAAATAGAGGAATCATGCACACAACACACATACACGCAAATATATATATACACACACACACATCTGTGGTTCTCTCTCTGGCTTCTCTTAAGCCTGTTTGTTTCTTTGATGTCTCTTATGCCTGTTTCTCTGGCTTCTCTTAAGCCTACTGAAATTGAACTCAAGACCTTACAATCCCGAGGCAGGTGCTGTACCACCGAGCTGTATCCCACTCTCTTTTTCTCTCTGTCCATCATTGACCTACTTCTATCTGGCTCTGGTGGACTTATATTTCTCTCTCTGGACCTAGTGGGCCTGTTTCTTTCTTTAGCCCCAGTGGACCTGCATCTTTATGATACAAGTTTAACACCTGGTAATGTCAATACTGATTCACTCCAATGACGAATATTGACCACTACCAATGCACCTCTCCCCATTATGCACACAGACTGAGAAGAGTCCCCTGCCCACTATTTTCAAACTCAGGTCCCTGTATGGGTGCCATATGCTGCGACCTGTGGGGCATTGGATGTTCCTGGGAGGAAAGACTGTGAGAGGATGGGAAAAGAAAGAAAACAGGAACGCTGAGGCCAAAGGAGCCCTCTCTCTCCTGATGGGAGGAAAGGAACTGTCCTCTCACTGTAGGGACATTTACTTACATTAAGCAACTTAATGCCACCTGACATCCCACTGCCTAGTAATCTGCCTGTATGACAAACTAAGGGCTTGACTTTTGGGGCCTGGAGTCTCTTGTTTTTGGGCTCTACATGGGTGGTCTTTGTACTCTCACTCACCTTGCCTTACACCCACAGGTGTGATCAAACTTCAGTGTCAGCTGCTCCCAACAGCTTTGTAGTTTGCTGAGGATCATCAGTATGGTGGGAAAGAGGTACGAGGAATGCAGAAGAAAAGAGTCCAGAAATTCTCCATTTCAGGGTCACATGTGGAATTCATGGCTCCCCAAGTCCTTACCAAGTGTACTCTGCTCATTGTACTTTGAAAACTCACGTTGGCCTCAATAAGAGCGAGAGCCCCACCCACTCATGGTCCATGCCTTCCCCATCATGACCACATACCCAGTGCATTGTGTCAGGAGACTCATCTACCAAATGTAGCTGCCCTTCAAGGAAGCCACTGTGCCTGTCCCTTTTTCCCCTTTGCTGGAAACCACAAGGCATAACTTGATTGTTCACTCCTCCACTCCTAAGTGAGTAAAATTTCTCCTTCATCCCATGGGGTAGACTCAGTGGCTTTCTTTCCTAGCCCATGGCAACTTGGGTGATCAAAACTCATAAGGTGACTCCCCAGGTAAACAGTGGCACCCGAGGTTCACCGCCTGTGTGAACTGGGGGTTTACTGCTATCTTACTCCTTCTGCCCTGCTGGCACAAGTTCAGTAATGATAAATCTTACAAAGAACAGAAATTTAGTTCTTACAGTTCAGGAGGCCTGTGTCCTCCTGATGATGGCAAAAGCCAATGAACTTCTTTGCATCTGTTTTTTTTTTTTTTTTTTTTCCATTTGATACCGGGGACCAGAATTACAACCTCCTGCTTGCCAGGCAGGCACTTGTGCCAACTGAGCTAAATCCCCAGTTCCTGCATCTCTTGTGTAAAGCCACTAACCCTATTCACGAGGGCTCTGATCCCATGACCTAGTCAGCTCCCTAAACAGTTGTCTATAGGGATTGGAATTTAAATATATCAATCTTAGAGGAAAACTATTTGTGTCATAGCACTTGACATTATAGATATGTTCTTAAAATTTGGGAAGTAGGGCTAGATGGCTTCCCTGTTATCCTGACCTAGGAGCCTTAATTTACTTAAAAAAAAAACCTTTGTGGTTTCCCCCATATTTCCCCTTCCCAGTCTTCGCCTTGCTTCACTTCCTGGAGATACCAGGACTCAGATGAGCCAGTCCTTAGCCCTGTATTTACAGGGCTAATACAGGCATAGTGAACTGTATTTATAGGAGAGTTTTCAGGTGGGGTCTTGGAGGATTACAGGATGAAAAACCAGGTGCATGTTCAGGGAGTGGTGGTGATTTGTATGGTGTGTGTGTGGGAGGGATGGCTACACACACTTAAACACTAATGTTCCATTCTCAGTTGTTACAACTGCCTCTGCTCTTATTCATGGGTGATGGTGCTGGGACTGGGTTAATATGGGATGGACACAGCTAGGCACTGAGTGAAGTCAGCAGACTCTAATTTTCCATGTACACAGTCTTTAGACAAAAAAGTGCATAGCCATGATGTTCAAGGTGGCATGCCCAGCTGTAAAACTGCAAAACAAGAAAGGACACAATCAGCATTAAAGTGAAGTTAGGGACTTCCCCAAGGAGGGGGTGGCCTGTGGCAGCAGGAAGGGGAACAGGTGCATGGTCCTAGAGTGACCGCTGGCCTGTTTCATCAAGGGAATTCATTATCTTGTACAGAAGGGAGTGTCTCCCAAGCCCTCTTCTATGTATGTCACTTATCCCCCTCCCAACTGTGTTCTAAGAAATACCAACAGGAATCTTAGGATGTTCTAACTCTCAGATTTTCCACCACTGTTTTCAGTTCCTGCTACACAATTCAAATGATCTAATGGTGAATTCAGGTGTATGTTCTTATGGGTGAAATCCTGGCCATCCTTCATGGTAGACACCTCAAGGCTGATGCTATTTGTGCCTCAAATTCTCTTCAGCTGGGACCCTGGGGGAGGGGGAGGACCCCCTGTAAGCAGAGCTGAGTAGGCTGGTCAACCTATCAGGACCTGTAGTAATGGGTCTGAGAGAGAGAGAAGTGCCATAAAGAAAGCCACCCTGGCTGGCTGGAGGTGTAGTTTAGAGATCAGCACTTGCCTAGTCCACAGGGATTGAGGTCCTGGGTTCCATGACAAGTATGAACTTTGTAATCATGCCACAAAGAGAGGAGTTTGACCCCTTTCAAAAATCTGCCAAGATTTTTGACTTCCTTTTGACTTCCTTCCCTACAAGTTCCACTGATGTTTCTCAGCTTGTGAGCCTCCTGTGAGTAGAGTTAAACTCCGTATTTCAGTGTGTTAAAACATACAGAATGCTAACACCCCCATACCACAGTGAGTCTTCTGCTCAGGATTCCTGAGACAAAACCTCCAGTGTGGGCAAGTATCCCTGTGCTCTGTCTGTGGCCCACACTGATGTCACCCTCTTCACTGGCTTCATTTCTCCCTGCCCCTTTCAGCAACACTAGTCTGTACTCTGAAGCACCCTTGGAACATGGAGCCCTCTGTCCAGAGTACTGATACCTGTCACGGAGCCAACAGCCAGCCCTCAGTACTCATGTGCTGAGACTAGGTAGCACACCATCTCAGTCCTCACGTCCTGAGGTCCCACTTAGCACCCTCTTGCCACTCCTAGTCCTGTGTGTGTGTGTGTATGTGTGTGTGTGTGTGTGTGTGTGTGTGTGTGTGCCTGCGTGTTTCATATCCTGAGAGAGGAACCCTGGCAGAAGACCAGGTTTGCAAACCCACAGAGTCTCATAGGCCATGGGGTGGAGTTTTAAGTACCCTCGGGGGGTTATCAGAGCCACGGAAGGGTAAGGAGCAGGGAGGAATGTGATCTGACAGGGGTTTAAAGATTTCAGATGCTAAGTGGGGAAGACAGTGGAGAGCAAAAGCAGAAAGGAGGCCAGCGTGCAGGCTGCAGAAGCGGCAGGAAAGAGATGACATAGACTGCACAGGAACGGGGCTCAGGAGGTGTCTGGGATGAGGGAACCGTTAATATGCGCAAACAGGACACAGATGCAGAGTGCTCTCCGGAGCCGGCCATGATCTAAGGACAGACAGCGCCTCCACAGACGTGGCTCCATCAGGACAGAGGTTCTAGAGCAGGTGTGGTAGCTAAGGACATACCACCTGAGGTATGAGGTCAGGGCCAGGCGGGTATTCTTACCCCGAAAAGGGAAAGCGGAGTGGCCTGGCAAGAGACGGACAGATACTTGTGGGATGAAGGCATTGGAAATCACGGAGATAAGTGTCCCCTTCCGGAGATATCTTCAACCCTCCCACGGCGTCGGTACACAGAGCACGGCTCGCACAGCGACCAGCTACCAGCATACGGCGGACTCACCTGGGAGAATCACAGCTCAAAATGTCCTAATTTACAACCACAAGGAATCCAGACACTGACTCTAAGACTACGACTCCCACAAGGCATTGGGGCTGCCTAGCCTACGACTCCCAGAATGCAACAGCTTCTCCAGAGCGACTGTAGCTCTGAGTTCCCTTGGCCTAGCAACTCACACATTCCAGGTTTGGTTTTGAGAGGTTTCTAAGATGTTAAGGCAGTTTAGTGTCACCAAGCTGAATCCCTCAGAGGCTCAGTTGCAGCGTGCTGATTTCCTATTTTTGTGGGATTAATGTAGACAAATAGAATGTGATTTCTGCCCTTTAAGGTGGGGTTGCGTTAGCGAGTGAAGGGATTTGACTCAGGGCAGACGCCCTGCTGCAGGGTGGTAGCAGTGTGCTCAGGCAGGTAGTCTTGGGACAGGGAGCTTGGTGGGGTGAAGGGATTCTGTGTGCGTGTCAGCTGTCAGCGATTTGGGGTGTGGCTTTTCTGCACAGGTCTTGGTTCTGGGTAATGAGTGCAAGTGAGGTCCACTGCGCAGGCCTATGTACGCGAGTGAGGCTACTGCACGATCCCTGCACTTATAAAGTGGGGACCAAGTGGGGATCAAGATGGCTGAGAGGCGAGATCGTCTTCGTTTATCAGTGACCCTGTAGACCCAGACATCCAAGAGGAAAAAACCAAAGATTTCTTTGACATCGCTTCCTCCAATGCCCCCATGCCCAACCCCTAACCTCAGTCTTTTCCATAGTGTTCCCAGATCTAACATTGTCTTTGCCCTTTGGAAGGTCTTTCATGGCTTCCCAGTGCTTTCAGGGTAAAGTCAAACCTCTCAGTGTGCACTGGAAGCCCTGCCCCCCTTTCCGTCCTCAACATTTTGCCCTTTGTAGGGCCGTGTAGACGCCCTCCTGAGCGGTTACTGTCTGGCAGGAGATACCACGGTGTGGTGAATCCTTACTGGGTCTCTGTGTCTCTCCCTGACCACAGAAGCTTTGGTCTCTGCAGCAACACATGTTTGAAACTGCACCCTGCATCTGCTCCTTGTCATAACACGTTTTATGGTATCTACCCATGGCTAGAAACTCCTCTAGAAAAACTGGTATGTGGGAGCTCATACACTGCAGCTCAGCATCATCTGATATAGAGGAAACGTGTGTGTGTGTGTGTGTGTGTGTGTGTGTGTGTATCTTTGTCCCTGCAATGTCCTCATGCTGTCCTTGTTTTGGCCCGGGTCCAGCTCCCAACTACCTTCTTGTCTGTTTTTGCAGATCCCTGTTGGACGCTAAGCCCACTCTGGTTCCCGCTTCAGTGCTAAGGAACTACACTCTGAAGGACTTGGCTCTATCTCATCTTGATTGGCTCCAGGGAGTCTAACAACACAGGCAAGTCCAAATGAACGCTTGGGCATCCTTATAAGTGTCAAATTCTGCCATGTCTTCCCAGGTGTAAAGTATTCAGACTCTGAGTTCAGAGTGAGGGAGCCAATATGGGCTGAGGAAGGGGCAGAGGAGCCAGCCCAGGCTGTGACAGGGAGGGAGGGACAGGATATTTTGGCTTCTCACCCCACTATTGTCTGCATCCAGACAAAGGCTTCAAGTCCAGTGAAACATTTCAGCCATTCCCACCATGGAGACCCAGGTCTGTGGCTGCTCTGTGTCAGCTACATGCAGCACTAGGCCAGGAGAACTTGGCCTTGGCCCTAGATGCATCCTGATCTTCAACCCAGAAAACATACAGCTACAGGGTACAAACTGGGGATGAGAATGGAGGTGTAGAACTCACAAGCCTGAGCCATGGCCCAGAAGAAACATCATCTGTCTGGCAAAGAATGTACAAATGTTTATACAAGTGTACAGAAGATATGTGATAGCATTGTGTTTATATGCATATGTATATTTACAGAGACTATGCACTCACTGAGTATATATGCACATATTCAGTAAATATGTAAGAACTCAAGAGTTGCCTGATATAGTTCACATTGGTAATCTCAGAAAACAGTGGAAGGAGAATAGGATGTTGGAGGTCAGCTTAGCCATGCTAGCAAGACTGTTTCAAAAGCAATTTTAAAAGGTCTTCGGGTTTGATTCAGTGGTAGAGTGTCTTTTTTCTAATAACATACTGAGGGAAAATACGACAGGACAAACATCAATCAGAAAACATTCTAATAGGTGGAAGTGGCCTGATGACTTCAACAGACACTACCAAAGGCATGCTGATGCCAGATAAGTGCATAAAGACAGACTTCATTTGTCAGATTTCCTACACTCTTCCCTTTATATTTGACTTTTTAGGTGATGATTATAAAATAATACTGTAAATTATGTGTTCTCTATGATTGTTTCCCTTGCAATCTCTGACTAGTATAAGATTGGTACTAACAGAGTGGTTCATTGCTGTGACGTTGCCCGGCCACGTGATTTAAGAGCATTGGAAATTAATTTGGAAAGATTTTGAGAGACTGGCTGAAGAGGAAGCTCCTGTATGCTGTATAGTATATTGGAGACCCTGGTCAGAGCCTGGAAAGTTGGCATACTTTCCAGGAAAATGCTGATAGTTACGATGAAGCCCAGGAGGCTTCTATTGAGAAGGACTGCATTGGCTGCTGCATCCCAGGTAATATACTCTGTTTTGGCTGAAATTTGTCTGCATTTTGCTTGTGTTTAGAGATATTTCCCGGATGGCAGAAAAATTTCACTGCAGTGCCATTGGGATGCAGTAGCATGGTTACCACTGAGAGCTTTGGGCCAGATCTATGTTGGAAACTAAAAGTAAAGATCCAGTAGAGTGATTTTGAACACTTGGCAAGAGAGAAGGCTCTAGCAGAGCTATGGGTTGCAAGGATGACATGGAGGGGAACATGGTTGTTGAGAGGGAACAATGAAAAAATGAACTAAAGTCTTTCATCCGAAGGGGGTAACACTGAATTTCAGGACATCCCTGTTTTTTAGTGTTGCCATGCCCTGTTAAACTTTAATGGGAATCAAAGGCTGTGATTGTAGTAGTTCTCTTGATTTAATGTAGTTTTTATTTTTTAAAATTTATTTATTTATTTGATATCAGGGATCTAACTCATAACCTTGCACTTGCCAGGCAGGTGCTTATGCTGCTAAGTGAAACCCCCAGCTTAATGTAGTTATTAGATATATGTTTGTAATTGGTTTAATTAGTCCAAGTATTGTGTTTTAACCTTGAATTTTGGTCACTCTTTGAATATTTTAGGTTGCAGGAATGAGTGAAGAATTGTGTACATGTAATTGTTGTACTAATGTAAATCTGAATGGACAACATATGTTAACTTTCCACAAGTCTGTCACCACAGACTACAGTTTAAGGAAATGTATAGGGTTTTCAAGTTGAATACAGGTGGCTTCTGGTGTTTTGATAACTGGTGGTCAAGTTGTAAAAGCAGCTGAACTGAATCTGTGGTGCTGGATATGGATGGCCGACCTGAGGATTTTTGCCGATTTAACAAGAGCTGAGGAGAAAGAGCTTAGCATTGTGGGTCCTCTTGAGTGTTGTTGCTTCTCTGTGGTGTTGTTCTCTCATTGCAATTGGTTCTCCTGAAGGACCTTGTAGAGCTTCTTTCATGACATGCAATTGGCTGTTCCCATCACATCAGAGGAGCTGGGGACCTCGTTGTCACTTAGAATAGCTGTTGATCACTTTGGGGGAGCTCTGGTCCTCACTTTGAGCATCACTTCTTGACTCTAGAGGGGAAGACATGTGCTATTCATTCTCCTGGGAAAGCTTGGCATGCTGGCTTCCTGATATGAACTCATCTGTTCTCATCATATGAGGAGCTCAGGATTTCATTATCACTGAGAATGGCTGTGGTACTTTTGTGGGGAGCTATGGTCCTGATTTTGAGCATTGCTTCCTAGCTCAGCCGTCAAGCACAGATCCTTCATCCTTACAGCTTAGACTTTCTGGCTTCCACTGTTGACCTTTGGGCCTTCCCAGCACAGATCCATGGAACAGATTTACATGAGACATTGTTGTGGGCTCTAGGTCTCCATTCAGTCTCATGGGGACATTGTCATGGGCTCTAGGTCTTCAGCTGGACTCATGCAGGACATTCCCATGGGATCTAGGTCCTCAGATGGATGTTTTGGGTCTTAGTGTGTGGACAGATTTCCTGCACTATTTCTTTTGTATTCGAGTCTTTGAATGACCATCATAAAATAATACTGTAAATTGTGTGTCCTATATCATTGTTTTCCTTGAAAACTATGACTACGACACTTGTTAATCAGGATTCTGCAGGTACAGTTACAGTTGGAGGTACACATACCAGTCCTTACCAGTGTTTCATTTGCACTCACACCTCTGCATGCCCACCCTCCATCCAGGGGCAATGCCTTCCTCTTTATTCCTGATGGTGGTCAGCAACCTAATTTTCCAGCCATTAACAATCATGTCTGTAATTCAAACCTCTATTCCCACAACCCAAAACAGTAGGCTATGTAGTGCATTAAGAACATAAGTGCTTTTTGCCCAGAGTTTTAGAGGATAAAAGTCCAAAATTAATTAATTAATTTTTAATTTTGAAGAGAACAAAACCAAATGATACAAAACAAAATAGAGTTAATCAAAACAAAAGGATGAGCATAGTACATGACTTAAAAACAAAATAGAAAGTGATCAACAATGATTACCGTGCCTCTTATCTTCAAAAGAATTACCCGTATCATCAGGCATAATAAAATTGAACAAAATAGTACAGAACAAAACCAATAAGAACAAAACCAATAACTAAAACATTGGAGACATTATAGGATTTCAAAAGAAGATAATAGTCAAACCAGAATGGGTATTGTAGTGTATCTTATTGTCTTCAAAGTAGTTGCCTGTACCCTCAGACTTGGTACTATCAAATAAAACAGAATAGAATAAAATCAGTCAAAACAAAACAGTGAAAGCAATACAGGACTTCAAACCAAGTTAATAGGAAATAAAAAATGGTTACCATAGTACATCCTCCTTTCTTTGGGATAGCTGTCCATGCCATCAATTCTAATACAAGTAGACAAACTGAAACAATAAAATCAAACTAAACAGAGTGATGAAAACAATATGGGTTTCAAATCAGGATAATAGATTACCAATGTTCACTGCCTTCCCGTTTTAGACAATTTCTCCCCTTTCACTTTCACAGGATGTATTGTACATTTGTATCCCACTAACTTCTTTAGTTTTTATATTAGGGGGCAACATGCTACTCACCTATGTGATTCTGAACCTTTTTACCGCTGAGCATGATTTCAGGTTGTATCCATTTACCTACAAGATCCTCAAGGTTTTTTTCTTTATAGCTGAGTAGTTTTCCATTGTATGAAAGTGACATGGCTTCTAACCAATCTGGAGCTGATGGGCAAGCTACCCCCCACTTTTTTTTTTTTGGTTCCCTGTCACAAAGAGCATTGTTTTCTTGTCTTTGATTTTCATTCTATAAGCCCTCCGTATGGTTAAATGTATTTCTTATATAAAGCATATTGATGAACCCAATCTCCTGATTCACTCTGCCTGTATTTTTTTTTTTTATTGGTGAATCGAGACCATCTATATTAGTTATTATGGCCAACCTGCTCTGCCTCATCCCTGCCATGCCATTTTTCTGCCGTTGGTTGTCTACTTTTCCCTTTCATTCCACTGTCTGCCCTGTTCAGTGAGCCCCCTCTGCCACTGTTCCTGAAACGGTCTTTTTTATCTCTCTTTAGAATGTCCTTCAGTTGTTTTTGTAGGGTTGGTTTGGTGGTCATGAACTCCCCTAGTTCCTCTTTGTTGTGGAAGCATCTTGTTTCTCCATTAATCCTGAAAGATAGTTTTGCAGGGTACCTTACCTCAGTCTGGGTTGAAGGATATTTTCTTTCAGGGTTGGAATGCTTCACTCCAAACTCTTTCTTGCTTTTATGGTTTGTGTTGAGAAGTCTGTCATGATTCTGATGGGTTTTCCTTTACAAGTGATCTGTTTCTTTTCTCTGACATCTTTTAATATTCTGTTCTTGTGTTGAATTTCTGGAATCTTTATATGTCTGGGTGTAGATCCATTTTGGTTATAGTTGTCTGGAGTTCTGTATGCCTCATTTATCTGAATGTCATTTCCTTTTCCTATGCTTGGGAAGCTTTCTTTAATTATTTCTATAAATAGCCTCTGCATTTCATTTGTATTTACCACTGCTTCTTCACTCACATTTTTATTCTTAAGTTATACTTCCTCTTGTCATCTTGTAGCTTTTGTACTGTTACTTCCTGGGTCCTTGTTATTTTTAAAAGATTTTTCCTTTCACAATTGCTAGCTGCAAACCGTCTGCAAGGTTTGATAGTCTATCTTCAGTTTCTTTCAAGCAGTTTTGCCAGATTTCAGTGGAGTTTTTAATTTCCTGGTAATCTCTTTGAATCTGTTTCATGTATCCTATTTTTTTATATTCTTCACTGATGATTTCCCTCATTATTCTATGCTCCTGTATTCTTCCATCTGTATCTTCTTTAAAGGCACTTAGCAATTCTTTTATTATGTTTCTCATTTCTTCTTTTACTTGGGGTAGTATTTCTTTTCTAAATTCTTTTATAACCTCTTGAAGTTGTTTCTTTATTTCAGTTGCTGTTGCTTCAGAAACTGCAGGTGTGTGACTCATAATTTCTTCCATATTTACGTCTTCTGGACCAGTACTGCTTGATTTGGAGGCCAGAAACTGCCTTTTGCGTCTTCCTCTTGTCATGTTCCTGGTTCCTTTGATAAGTGGGTAGTGGGGTCCCTAGCACTCCTTGTGTTGGCTAAAATATCTCTGGAGCAAGGTTGCTTTTTCTAACCTGTTCTGGCTAGGAATATCTGATGTTGACCATTGGATGTGTCAGTACAGGGCGGGTGGAGCTGGTTGGTGATAGCTTTAGGGAAACCTGGGCAATGTCTGTTGGACTGCATATGGGAGCGGGACTCAGTCCAAGCAATTTCCACCAGTCTGGTTCAAGCTACAAGTGGCTGAATAAAGCCAACAGCAGTTCTGGCTCTGGGTTTATCTTGCCTGACTCCAAAATGGCACCCAGCCAATTGCCCACTCCCACAAGAGGACTGAGTCCCCCATGCTCACTACCAGCCAGTGAAGTTCTCTGATCTGCTGCTCCCCTCTTCCACCATGTCTCCCCACCGTCGGGCTTGCCCATCACCAGCTTCACTGTGCCCAAGCATCTCTGGTTTCCAGCAGTACTTCTTGTACAGTGGGTCCAGCTCCGGGAGAAAATGCCACCAGCTTGTGCCTTCTTCTCTTTAAGTTTTTCTTTTCTTTTTTAAAAAATTCTCTCTTTGGGCTTCAATTCTCACTTTAGTTTCTTCCTGGGTTGAGGGCACCCACTTCTTTCCTTTTTGTTTTCTCCAGAATGCTGTCTTCTAACATCTGGACTGTTTTTCTCAGAGAGGCTCTTTACTCTGCTGTTTACTGTTCCACCATCTTCCTATATACCAAAAGTCTAAAATTTAGCAGCAGCAACTCTTTGGTCTTTGGTGAGGTACTTTTAAATGGATTACAAATAGTGACAAATCCAGAAAAGAACTGGCCATATGACCAAATGGCCACAAATGTGGGGCAAACTCACTGAAACAATTGAGAACTGAATGAGGTCCATTAAGATCTGTTAGTCTCTTTTGAGTGGAGCAACCTCATTGCTCTAATTACCTACACTCCACCTATTTAAGGTCCCACATCTCTGACATCAACATTCTGGGAAACAAGTATCGTGTGAGCTCTTGGGGGACAAATCGCCACCATGTCCTTCTGTAACCTTCCTCCAGTGTGAGACAGACCTACTGATTGCTTCTAATGAGGAAAGCAAAATTAAAGTGTGAAGTGAAAAATGCCGGCACAAATGACACAGAGCAAAAGCTTCACTTTAGCCCCATGCTCTCTCTTGCTTTCCATTTTAATGAAGGTAGATTATTCTGGGATCTTCCTTATGGAGAGGCCTGTATTTGTGGGAATTGAGGGCAGTCCTAAACCACCAACCTGTGAGAGACTGAGGCTCTCACACAACTGCTATCAGGAACTGATGCCTGCCAGCCATGAGGAGAATCCTGAAGGTGCATCCACCCCTGAGAGCATCATTTGGCATCATGAGTGCAGCCTGTGAGAAGATCTATGCCAGAGGATGAGATGAGCTGCACTTTGATTCTGAAACCTCAGAAACTGTGAGATAAAAGTGTTGTCTTAGGCCTTTGAGCCTGGAGGTGATTTATTAGGCAGCAGCAGGTAATTAATACACTGCCCACAGGGAGATACACTGCCCACAGGGAGAACATTGATCATTTTAAGCTCTTTCACATTTGTACCCTTATGCCAGATAAGCTTCTCTTCTAGCGATCTCCTTATTCTTTACGATCATGATCAAATTCTCCCCATAAGGACCTTTTATGACATTTCCAGGAAGAGTCTTAGCTCCCAACAGAAGCTCCAAAATGCTTGTCACCAATGTCACTGTGATCAGCAAACACTGACAGCATGCTGACAGCATGGGAAGGTGACTGGAACCAGGGTGTGTGATACTAATGACTGGATTAGACCACTGATGGGTTTCTATCTCACTGTGATGTGGGGTAGTGAAGCCTGATGGGAAGAGGTGGGTCATGGATGTGGCTAGGAACAGTGTACATCCCTTTTCCCTGGATCTGCCTTCCTTCTTGCTGCTGTGCCATGGACACTTTCTTCTCTACCATACCCACTGCCATGCTACCCTTCCTCACAGCAGTCAGCTGCCTGTGGACTGAAACCTCTACAAACTGTGAGCAGTGACCAAAACCTAAGACATGGCCCACCAGAAAAGGAAGTAGGAGCTCACTGTTAATAATGAGAATTCTTGGGGAGACAGTCCTGCCATGTTTAGCTGGTTCAGGTATAAGTCATCAACACTTGGGAATTGTGTGATTTGTAATCTCGCTATTGCTACTTTGTACCTGACATCTTTGAATGTCATGGCTCAAATCTCATCTAAGTTCGCAAGACTGATTGTATTCCTCAGATTCTGCACCTTGGAGACTTGTCATTTTGCCTGGCTCTCAAGGTCGCATCAGGTCAGGTCTTAGAGTTCTGTGTCTTTGTCCTGAGAAAGAACTGGAACAGTTCATCTGGGCGGGGAAGTTCCCCTACTGTTGCTGAGTTTCATGACTTCTGGAGCCTTGAGGTTGGAGATGAGAACATACCCTCTTGCTGCCAGATCTTTGCACCATCTCCCAGAGGAGGGAAAGATCATATTTACCTCCATGTCTACCTCTTATTCCTCCTACTTCAGAAGCCTATTGTGTGTGAGTTTCAACAGCTCAACTCTGCCTATTTCTTCTCTCTCTTCATTTCTTGTGGATCTTCCCTGATGGTGCTTAGATTTTTCTATCCTTCCAGTCTTCTGGGAGTCCAGTGCAATTAGTTATACTTTTCCCTGATGTAATCACCATTAGTTGATATAATTACCATCGGGTGACGTAATCACCACAATTATACAAAGAAAATCTCAGGTATCACACAGACATCTCTTTCTCACCCACCACACCCATGAAACAATGAATCTTGCAAATGTCCCTTCCAGAAAATGGCTCAGTTTACTTCCTCTTCTAACATCCCAGTAGCCCTGCTCCAAGTCATTTTCTGTCTTCTTCTTCTTCTCAGACACTTACTCTGGGCTTCGTTTAGTCTATTGGCCTCCACTGCCTCCCTCCCCAGGTTTGTCTTATCTTCACAAGAATAACTTTCCAATTCAAGAGCCCACTCTGTATGTGCAGTGTTGGAGACCAGTGAAACTTCAACCTGAAATTGGAGACCAGCACCATCTAGTTCCTATTATTCCCTTCATTGTCACCAAAGGCTGAAAACAGCTGTCTACTCAGGAACTCTGCTCCCTGTGTTAACCATTCTGAACTCAGAAAGAAATGGACATCAACTCTGGGTATTGTCTCTTTTGTGCCTTACCCAGTTCTCAGACCTTGGGCACTGCTTCCTAACTTCCGATTCCCAAGATAAATATTTGCCATCTGTGATACACAGTGAAGGTAAGTTCAGTTTTCTTCACCCATGGTAGCACTTGATACCTGTGCGTTCCCAGGAAGATCAGAACGTTTCCAAGAAACACACAAAGGACTGTCCTTCCCAGCAGATCACTCTGCTCTTCTTAGTGATGTGGGAATCCTCAGAACCCTTTCAGAAAATTCCCTTTCCCCAAATAGACTAAACATTGGGTCACTTTTGATCAAAATGTTGGCATATAAGTCTGGAGCATCTGTTGGGTTTTCAGTAAGAATACAAATAGAATGCAAGCAATAAACTGTAATATTCATATTTCAAAATATGATTTATGCTCTCTTCGTGCTTTTTTTCAGGAAGTTAAAAAGTAGCTGACTGGAAGAAAGTTACTCTGTTAAGTGAAGCCCCAGCTGGGGCTATAAATTCACCGCGGCTTGCCTTTGTGATGTAAATCAAAACAGGATTACCATCTCCCTTTCAGCTACATCAGAGTACACAGCCACTAGGAAGGCAGGATGAACTTTGTTCTGGTGGGGAATTGGCTGAGAGATGAGGTTGACCAGAAATGAGCCCTTTAACACTTCAAAGTCCTCACTGGGGATGTGAGCCCTCCTGGGCTTTGTTCTACAGAGTTTGTGTATTGCAGTTGCCAAATAAGAACAGGAAAAGCTGATTGAGTCCACAGTTGATAAGGCTGTAGCAGTTTCATTCAAGAAAAAGTGAAAGCAAAATAAATGATAACTTTATCTGGGAAATTAATTAAACCTAGCACCCTTTCTGCAAAGAAACAGAATGTAACATTTGGAAGACTACCTAATTCTTGAGAAAAATAAAATAGAAGGACCAAAAAAATCCTATTTCCAATAGAATGAAATGATAGAAAATAAAGCTCAGAAGGTATAAGTGGCTGAAGTTTGTCATTGAAGGCTCTTGGCTCTGGGAAGCAGGACCTCACTCTGATGACAGAATGACCTGTTGGAGTACAGTGAGTACAGTAAATGTGCAAGATGATGCTTGGAACAGACCTGCTAACAAGCTGACTCACAAGAACAAGGGAGCACCACCAGCTCAGCTCTCCAGGGTCTGTCTCCTGAAAGAGTCTAAACTGGAAGAACCAACATGTTATGAAAAAATATATTTTAGAGAACTCTCCTCAAATGTAATGGTCAGTAACTAAGAGCTCAAAATGTTTGTTGCTATTACCATCATCAGTTCCTGAAACTAAGATGCTCTACCATGAATCTTTGTTATTTTAATTCTCAGACTTCGTACAAATGGCCCAAATGTCATGGAATCATTTTCACTCAATTTTTCTAGTGAATCCTTCAGGCTTAGATGGCATAATCTCACTGCCCTTAAACAATGAGGGACATCTAGACATCAGAAGAGCCCAGGATGAGTCTAGAAACAGGAGAAACATTATAGAAGCTCAGACCACTCACTGAACAGTAGGTCTGCTTGTTCCCAAATCACATGGTCTTAGGCAGTGAAGACTTCTTCTGCAGTCTAGGTTATTAGGGTACCTAAGATGTGGCCCGGTATGTAGAGCCATATGCTCTGCAGAGTTTGGTGATATTTGAGTTCAGGACTCCAGAAATACTGGATCAGCACTGTAGAAATCATCCCAGCATCTAGGAGCTCATGAGGTGTACTAAATGTCCTGGAAAGAAAGGCATCCTTTCTGCCTGAGTCACCTTGATTTACATTCTATGCACTTGGTTCCAGATGAGCTTGAGAGAAAGAGGTGTTATGATTTGTGGCTGGGTGTCCTCCTGTCATGGTTTATGGTAGACCCCAGGCCTCATGCATTTATATTATGCATTTGTGATTGGTTCATCATCTAGCATTTGGATTGGAGATATGAGTGCTACACTGGCCTACGGGTGGAGCCAGGATGTAATGGCAGGAAGAAGATGTCTCTGTCTCTCTCTTTTGCCAGTTTCTGCCTTGCTGTTTGAAGCCTCCATGAACTGTGGCCCCACCATGCCACCCTGCCTTCGAGCCAACTGAGTATGGACTGAAACCTCCAAAAACTGTCAGTAATAAACCTTTCCTTTCCCAACTTTGGGCATCAGGTATTTTGCCTCAGGGATGAGTAAAAAGTAACTAATACCACCCTCCCCGGCAAAGTATCATGCAGTCATGAAGGTGGTAGAATCTAACATTTGTGATTGGTTTGTTGTCTAACCCTGGAATTGGTGGTATGAGTGCTGTACCTACACAGGGGCAGGTGCCAGAATACAATATAAGGGCGAGAAAGAGGCACGCTCTTCCCAGTTACCCTTTTCACTCTTGCCTCTTATGGACACTATGAATAGTCACCCCTTAACCATGCCACCTTGCTGTGGAGCCAACTGAGTATGGACTGAAATCTCCCAAAACTATAAGCTAAATAAATCTTCATTTTGAGTCTTTTGTCTCAGCAACAAGAGAAAAATAATCAAGACAAGAAGTTTCACCATATCACAGAAAATGAAGGAACTAGGCAGAAACCTCATTTTTATGTCCTTACACCATGGTCCTGGAAATTGGTTGTCAATTATTATGAATGTGTTCTAGAAGTTCTGTGATCCAGCTCAGCGTCTTCTGTAAATGAGGGTCTGGTCTTCTATGATTTCAGTGTGAGCTCTGGGCTTAGGATACTTAGGAACATAACACATAATCTGTCATAAAGTCCCATAGCCATTAGTGTGTCAAACCCATATTTATTCTTTAAGCCATTTCTATTGATGAATTTTTAATTTTATGAGTCATTATATTAAACAATGAGTGCTAAACAGGAAAAACAATCACAAAAATAAAATATTGCATTTGTAATATTTATTGAGTGTTTATTAAAAAGCATCAAAATTTTCAATATTGGGGTCAGGGGTTTAGCTCAGCAACATAAGCACCTGCCTTGCAAGCATGTGGTCATGAGTTTGATCCTTGGTATCAAAAACATTTCAATATTGACTGGTTTTGATGTACCACAGAAATAAATTGTTATGTGAACGTCAATCAAAATGCCAACAGCACACTACAAATAGTAATCTTTACTTCAGCCATCACACCTAAAGTAGTCTTCATACATTAAAAAAGCATGTTCCATACACACAATTTACATACACTGACAATATGTTTGGTTGGTTTTTCTGGGGTTTTTTTGCAGGACATACGTGACATCTTGCTGGCCTTGCTGTTTTGTCAGATTTTTATTATGTTATGCAATGCATAGTTAACAAGACCCTAAAATATCTATAAAATAAAGGATTAAATTCTTAATATGTATTGCATGTTTACAAAAAACACCAACATTTTCACATCAGCTGTGTACTTGGTTACAAAACGTAAGAGATCATGTCAGAAGTAACAACATGTAATGAGTTACATTTTAGGTACAAACAAAAGTCTCCCAGAGAAATAAGCTTTGCTTCCACTATCACACTCAAAGCAATCTTCATACATGAAAATTACATGTTCTATATACAAGTTTGCTCACACTGACAGTATGTATGCTCTGCTTTCCTGTTCTTTCTTATAGAGAATATTTGACATCTTTTCATTTTTCCTGTTGTTGTATTAGGTCTTTGGGATACTATGCCTGACTGTTCACCTATCAGCTCACCAATGTGGTCCACATTTTTTGCATAGTTCCCTGGGCAGAAATACCTTACTTTTTCCTCTGTTGTAAATGATCTCTCATGAATTCCAGTCCCAGTCCTCTAAGAAAATTTCTCCATGGTATTTTGCACTTGTTATTTTCTTTGTAATCTTTCAAACAGTTTATGCCACACATGTTTCACATGTCACACGTGACCAATGCTTTATATTTTGAGTGACATCATAATTGCTACATAACTCATCAACAATATCCACAATATGTTTGGTGGTATTGTATAAGGTTTCCATCTCAGGCTTCCATTTTGCCAAAGTTTCCCTTTCAGAATTTCCATCATGGTGGAATGTTGACATCAACATACCAGTTTGTTTTCTTTGCCATATACAGGCTAATATAAATCTTTCTGAAGTTCCAAGATTGTACCATATAATTTTGTGTTTTCAAATTGCAACATTTCATTTGAAATTTCTGCTTTGTTCCTGAGTACAGATCCTGTGCTGGTCAACTTGTGCTCTGACAGGAAATGTAACATCAATAGAAACTGGTAAACCAATTGTTGAATTTCACACTCCAATTAGTTCAGGAGATGGGAGCAACAAGTCTATTCACAACATCATTTAGATTATTATTATATGAATAAGGAAGTGATGACTGAGTTCTAGGATAAATTTCTAAATCAAGAATAATTCCTCATTTTTATAAGGGCATAAATTTTTATACCATATTTTGACCCATTGCTTTTCCATCGGTTCTTTACATTCCTATGATTATCATGAGAAATCCCTGCTAAGTATAGCAGACCTATGAATGCTTTCAGTTCAGGTGAAATAGAAAATACATGTCACAACAAATACATTTTTAAATATGACTACTGGTGCAATGGAATGTTTATTGTGTTTCAACCTTTGTATATTTCACTGCATATTGTAGTATTTTATCTGTTACAGTTTCCAACATTGAGTGGAAATGTTGATATTGGTTCAATTTATTTCACACCTGCCAAGACCATTACTATATTTTTGGACCTAGTCTGAACATTGAATCATTTCATTTGGTTGTGTGACAATTTTGCAGCATTCCAATTACTCAAATACATACTCACATTTTCTTTGTCATCTGAATCAAGGATCTAACATTCCCTGTGTATTAGTCACCTCTTGTTCTACTTTACTGTCATGGAAACTTTGGTTCACATTGTGAGCATCAAAATTTTCATCATCCTCATTCTCATCCTTCTCCTCATCTTCCACACACAGCACTCCTCTGTTCTGAAAACATGTATTTCATAATAGTGGATCATCTTTATCATCTACACATGAGTAATCTGATGATTCAATTTTGATCTCCTCCAAAACTTGCAAATACAATTTTTCATATGCCATTGTACTGACTTGGGCTACTTTTTTCAGAAAAATTGAAAGAAAAGTTTTCTAAAAACAAACCTTAGAGTAGTGTGGGTGTATTATACTCGCTGTTATGCTGAGATAAGCACAGAAAAAACCTGTTAGACAGAGCATCATGTGGGTGTAAATCCTAGTTTAACAATTTTGCTCATGCATACACACTTTGACTTTCCTTTTTCAAATGGGTAAAAACAAAAATTTCTGCCTGGATCCCTCAGGCAATGGTACTGAGATGCTCGGCTGCCTATAATTATGATAAAGAATTTATGGTAGAAAATTAAGGGACATGTTTGTGAAGCCCAGGGTTGTGCTGCACATTAATGCTTGGTTCTAGTGGACCAGACTGAGGAGAGATACCAAGGGGAATCCAGATCTCACCATTGTTGCTATTTAATTGCTGTTGAAAGCAGGAATGGTAAATCAACTATTCATTCCCCACCTTCTTCTGAAGCAGAAACTACTGTATGTTTTTGCTAGACCCATGACATCCTTGCCTTTCATGAAAATTAGAAGAAAGATCTTTGCTCTTGGGGCTTCTGTGAGGCTGCTGTCTGCCAGTCCATGGCAGAGCTGGATTGCCAAGTTCTACTGGTGAAACAATGAGGTCAGAAAAGGAAAGTCTTTATTTCCACACACTCAGGTTTCTGTCCTCAAACTTTTGGGATCAAGTCATAGTTAACTCAGGATTTCTACTTGACTTCTCTTTATCATCACAAGATGAGGCATGGCAGTGTTTTAGGGCAGTAACATAAGCCTAAGGCATCCCAAAGACAGAATTCCAGGACTCTCCCAGTGCCTCTGCCCTGTCCTTGAGGCCCAGGGCATTCTTTCAAACACTGCTGAAGAGAGCCATTGAAGCTGGAGATCAATCAACCACATGTGAAGGGCTCAAACAGGACCAGCCCTGAAAAGACAGAGAGCTCAAAACAGGTCACATAAACAAGGTGTTCCAGCTCCAAGAAGGCAAGGTACCAGCCAGAAAAACAAGTTGCTAGGCAATGGGATTGAAATTGTCATCTTTCTTTGAAGGGTACATATAAACATGTTACAGTGGTTGAGCAATTCTTCTCTCCCATCAGAAGAATAAAAGATCCATCTGATCCCAGAGTTGGTCTTTTCTTTATTTTTTCATCCTCTCATCATCCTTCCCCAGGAACACCTAGAGCTGCAGTGGGTCACTGCATATGGTGCAAGAAGAAGTAAGAAGAAACAGTAGTTGAGGGGACACTTCTCATTTGTGTGCAACAGAGGGAGAAGTGAATAGGTAGTGGTCAAAATTCATCACTGCAGTGAATTGATCTTGACATTGTCAGGTGTAAAACTTGGGGATAAAAAATGAGTCCATTAGGGCTAGACAAAGAAAAAAAAAACTAAAGACAAATAGGCTTGATATAAATCAAAGACAAAAAGCTTAAGAAAATTCAAAGGGAAAATTGGCTTACAAGAAACCAAAGGGGGGAAAAAAGCATTTATTTTACCAGTTGTTAGATATGGGCAAATATATTCTAAAGAATCACAAATGTATGTGCAACTGTTGGTTGCATGCTTGATTCTAGTATTTACATTTTTGTGGTGGATTTGGGTTAGACAGGGTCTTAATAATTGTAAGCTTCTTGGACAACAACTAACCTATGAAACTTCTAAAAAGTCAACATTTGGCTTTCACAGCTGATAATAGGCTGGCTCCAGCATACCAGAGTCACTACGACTTTGCAGTGGGTCTTGATATCTGGTAGAGTAAATTCTCAAACTCTGTTGTTTTTCAAAATTGTTTACTTTAGGGATATTTGCTTCAAATTCATGACTAATGTTACTCTAAATTATTTAGGTCTTTTTGCTTTCTTGTATCAATTTTAGTTTTCAATACACTGACACTACACAGCTTGCTAAATTTCTTGAATTTGTTTCCAGAAGAAGGAATTATAAGTTTACATACTTGGGAGGAAATAAGAAAACAACTGAGAGCAAGACTAAGGAAAAAACAAACCAACACAAATCTATACAGCCGTTAAAGGGTTATTTAACAGGGAGAAACTGCTGCTTTCTGCTCCTCTCACTACTTCTCATGGGTGGCTCCCAAGCAGGGGACAGAACCAAACAGCTCCACTAAGCCTGGAGTGAGGCCCAGACAAGGAAGGTAGGGAAACCATGTTACTTGTTTCGGCTTCAGGGGAGAAGTGTTAGAGTTTCTAATGTAATGTAAGTTGATGGACTTAATATTGGTTCTCAAGGATTGTTGCCTATGTTAAAACGTTCAAGTTGTACAATATTAAAAATAAGCATGCCTTTGTAGCTAGAAACTGGTTGAAAGCAACGTGTTTTGCTGCAAGTTGACAGTGGTGGATGAGAATGGTTGACACATTATGTCAACTTGAATTTGGAAGCTTGGCTGAGTGACTCCATGGTAGGGCGGGAGTTCTCATTTTGTAAACATGCGTGTAACGTGCGGGAGTAGGGCAGAGAGATGGCGTGTGCTGCACCCACCCAGCGGGGTAACCTGCTTACAGTGTAGGGAGGAAAAGGAGGCTTATGCTCCCCTCTTTTGCCATCTTTCATTGCTGTGAACTGTTACTTTCTCAAACACTGTTCACCAGACTTCTGTTTCCCATGTCACCTTCCATCAAAAAGCTTCTGCCTTATGCAAACAATTCCATTTAACCCAGATGCTAGGTAAAAATTGTTAAATTTGCTCAAAATTTAATAACAAAAACAAAAAGGGGAATTTTATCTAGACTTTATTGGTGAGTATGTACTATTAAAATTTTACATCTTACTAAGAGAATGGAACCACAGCAGCCAACAAGACAATTCAGTCAGGTAAAAGAAAAGCTCAGAAGGGTTCTTCAGAGACATCTTCTCTTGCTCCCGTAAGAGGAAGCCAATGCATCCTGTACACCTCAGTTTTGTAGTACAAAATGTTCCATCTCTCTATAACAGATGCCCCACAGTCAGTGAATGTGAACATTTTTTGGAGAAACTGCACAGGTAGGAAAGCAGTGATTTCCTGGAGATTATGGGAAGGGTGGGGGCTCCTTCCCACAGAAGAAGTGAGGTTTGAACAAGGGTAGAAATTGAAATTTAAATCTGACACAAGCATTGGGTCTCCTTTACCCCTTTATCCCCTCAGGCTGTTTTGGGCCCTGGTACTTTCTCCTCCTCACATGCTGCCCTTAGGTCAGCGAGCTCTTTGTTAGTCTCTCTCTAAGCCTGGTCTTCATCTCCTTGCTGCTCCATCCCTTATTCTTCCTCATGTTCTATGGCTCTTCTTCTTCCCAGGGTATCCTGTGACCTTCATGGCCCAGCCCAGATGTTTGTCCTGGCTTGGAGTGGGACCTGTGGTTCCTTTATTCTCTCAGGCCAACTTCCTGGCTCACTATGTTCCAGCAGCTCCATGATCCATGGTGGGCCCCAGATCTATGTGCAGGGCCCTCCATTTGCTAGGCTGTCTCAGTACCTTTACATCACTTCCCCACCTGAGATGCTCACGTGCCATGTGTCCCCATGACCAAGCTCCCTCCTCCCAATCTCCTAGCCTCTTTCCCCCAGGGTTTCCCACACACTTGCCTCCTGGATTTGGGTATCCATGTTTGCAGGGAAGCTAGTCATGTGTCCTAATTCTTTTTGATCAGAAGAGGAGGAATGGGCAGGGCTGTCTGCTCTACCTTCTATGCTCTCTCTCTCTATCAATCCACCTAGTCCCTATGACTGTGAGCAATGGCTCCTTGCTGACCATCATGGAGGGCCAGTCCCTGTACCTGATCTGCATGGCTGAGAGCAACGCCCCTGCCTCCCTGAACTGGTTATGGAAGAGAAGAAACATGAGTTCCTCTCAGGTTTCAGCATCTGGGGTCTTGGAACTTCCTCATATAAGGGCTGAAAGTGGAGGTGAATTTACCAGAGTTCATCATCCTCTGGGTTCCAAGCACTTTTCTTTGATCCTCGTTGTGCAAAGTGAATAGCAGAATAAGAGCTGGTGTTTGCCGTAAGGTAAGAGCCAAGGCTTTGGAGAATTCTCTGTTCCCCTCTCCTTGCAGGATGCCCATCTTATTACCTGTGTGTAGCTGAGAAGCAGGAGGTTCTCTGATTGTCACCTTGCTCAGAGCAGCTGCAATGGGAGCCGGCTTCTTCCTCACTTATGAACTCGCCTGGATCTGCTACACCAGGTGAGCATGGTGATCCTCTCCAGCATGTTCTGTGATAGGTCTCCAGGTCCTGGATTGGCTTGAGTTGACTTGCCCTGCCTGGTATTGCAATTAACCTGGTTGATTTTGAGACCTGTATGAACTCTGCAGGTGTGGAGGTGCCCATGAGTGCAGGAGTGTGAGGCCATCCTGACCCCCTTGTTTTTGATGCTGAACTGAGCTCTGGACATGAAGACCTAGTGGACAGATATGGGGACATCCCTGTATTTTCTGGAAATTCTCAAATCACATCAACACTGACCACTGGAGCCTGACCTCAAGAACTAGTCCCAGTGTTCCACATCCAGTGCTCAGGCAAGTGCCAGATTTTGAGGACTTGTCCAATTGACACTCCAAAGTTACCTTGTTGAAGGTTTTGTAAATAAGGGAGGGAAGAAGGATTGAAGCAGGGAAAGGGAATGGTAAAAAAAATCAAATTCTATCATGTACAGGCACAAATTATCTATGATGAATGTGATCATTATGTATATCTAAAATGTACCTGTAAAATCTGATTAAAAATACATTACTTTGTTAGTAATGCACTGTTTTTAAATCAACCCGTGTATAGTGTTGCCTCTCAGGCTGGTTCTCTTTCCCCTCATAAATCTTAACTTTCTTATGATCACCTACAGTGGGCAGAGGGAAGCTCATGGTTCTCAAGGTTATGAATGCAGATGAGGGCCATGCTGTGCTTAGGAACAGGAAACCCCATCTGTGAGCACACCAATGCTCAGTCTCTGACCTCCACTACATGGCCCTTTCTGGCCGCTCCCGGAACAATGCCGTGGACCCGGAGAGCACAGAGTGTCTGCCTCTGCCTCTTTCCTGTTCTCATACTTACACCTGTCAGGAACTCTTCTCTTCATGGAGATTTTTGTGAGAGCTGGAATATGGCCAATGAGACCTTGCTTAGTCTCTCTCTCTCTCTCTCTCTCTCTCTCTCTCTCTCTGTTGAGATGATAAGTTTGCAATATAAGCAAGAAACCAGTGCTAATGCAAGGTTAGGGGCTTCTTCAGGAGGGAGTGGGCTGTGGCTATAAGAAAGGCAGAAAGGTGGGTGGTCACGAAGTGCTCACCATGGTCTATTACTTGGAAGGTATTCATTTCTGTTGGAAACCACTAAGTTATTTTTGATGAGCATTTTTACCTATATTTTGTCTACATCCTCCATCCTGAAAGAAAAAGTTTCAAGAAAAACTGTCAAGAACCAACGGAGGCTTCTTGTTCCACAATTTCAACAACATGTGCCCAATTTCTGCCACACAGTCAAAATAATCATCTGTTGGAATCAAGTGTTTATTGTTTTTCTCAGGAAAGCCTGGCCTTCCCAGCATCCTGAGGTATATACTGCAGGAGGGGAGACCATGTAAGTTGGCAGGGTCTTGATGGCCATGATGTGAGTTTTGGGTACATTTGGAGGGTGAGAGGTAACATGGGAGGGCATGGAGCATGCAAGACATGTGATATGACAGGATTTCTCTGGGTTCTGTGTGGAGACTTGTTGTGAGCTGTTGAAGCTTACTTTGACATCGCATCATGTATGGGAAGCAGAAGGAGGAAAATAACAATTGCATGAGGAAACTGAGAAGTGAAGGTTATCTTCATTATCTTGATTATAGTGATGGCTTCCTGGATGTATACACATCTCAGAACTGAACTGAGTCTTCTTCATTCTTCACTCCTGTCCTCACCCTTTTCTCCTTCATTTTCCTTTCTCTTCTTTCTCCCTCCTATCAAGTGTCTCCTATTTCTGTCCCTACATTGACAAGAAGAAACTTTGTTATTGAAGCAGAGCCTCATGGGAGTTGGCTGTACCTGGAACCAAGACCTGTGGAGCTGTCTTCCCATTCCATTTGTGGGGGCCAGAAGTAGAATCTGCCATCTCACTGGGAATCATACACAAGTGTTAAAGATATCATATTGCAGTAATTGTTGCATGTTCCTGGTTGTAGGAGCACAATTCATAATTAAATCTTGGAGGCAGCCTATGCATCCATGAACAGATGAATGGATAAAGAAAATGTGGGAGGAGGCTGGGAAGATGGCAAATCAATAAGTAGCAAGGAAAAGAGCCTCTCTGAGAGAAACAGCTCAGATGCTAGAATTTAACACCCCGGAGAAGACCAGATGAAAGGAGGGGGATTCTCAGGAAGAAACTAAGGAAAAAGAAAAGAAAAATGTGGACAGGAGGCTGGAGCCAGATGTGGTCTCATTGGAGCCAGTCCCATGGTGTGCTAGGTGCCGCTGGAGTCTGAGGACTCATGGTAGCACTGATGTCGAGGGTTGGCGAGCCCGAGGACCTCAGCCGGAGGACGCGTCACAATGGAGAATGGAGCTGATGGCATGGAGATCTGCACTGGCCTGGGGTGAGTGCTTGAAATTTGGTCCTCCCATGGGAGGTGGAGATCAGCTGGGTGACATTTTGAAATCCAGCAGGACAGGCCTGAACCTGGAACTGTAGTGGCTTCAGTTGGCCACTCATAGTGCAGAGCAGATTGGTGGGAACTTCTTAGACTGAGTTCTGCCACTGTGCAGGACTCAATAGCCAGGGACAAAGTTGCCCTTGAAGCTGTCCCGAACTGGTTCTGTCCACATGGTACACACTGGCATGTGAAGGCCCCCAAAGGTTGACTGGCTCAGAGGGCAGGGGCCAGCCTGTACTGTCCCTGTTTGTACTTCAGTGATCCCAAGCCAGCATGCTTCCAAGTAACCATAACCAATGCAGAAAGGGCCTGAGACCTCCACCATTCACCTGTCTAGAAGAAACCAGAAACGTGACAAGAAAAATAGATAAGAAAAAGTCTCCAGCCACCAACCCAAACAATATGGGTCCAGGAGAGGTAAACACAGAAGAGATTGAGGGTGCACACCTGCAGTACTGAAAGCAGCATCAGCTGACATAAAGAAATATCTTCATAACATTATAGAAGATCTCAAAAAAGAAATACTAATACAAGTAAAGCAAGATATAATATGAATAAAAGAAATTCTAAGCACCTCTCAAGAAGATACAAATGGGAGAATGAAGGAGCACAGAAAAAGGAGGAAAACATTCGATGAAGAATACAAAAAAATCTAGAATACATGAAACAGATTTGAAGAGATCACCAGGAAATTAAAAACTCCATTGAAAGCTGGCAAAACTGCTTGAAAGAAACTAAAGATAGACTATCAAAACAAGACTACCAAGTTTGTAATGTGTAAAAGGAAAGATCTCTTAAAAATACCAAGGAGCCATAAGCGCCTGCCTTGCAAGCACGAGGTCATGAATTTGATCCCTGGTACCAATGAAAAAAAATACTAAGGAACCAAGAAGTAACAATACAAAGGCTAAAAGACAACAAGAGGACCTACAACTTAAGAATAAAAAATGTGAATGAAGAAGCAGGGGTAAGTGAAATACAAAGGCTATTCACAGAAATAATTAAGGAAAACTTCCCAAGCATAGGAAAAGGAAATGTATTCAGATAAATGAGGCATACAGAACTCCAGCCAGCTACACCCAAAACAAATCTGCACCCAGACATATAATAATCAAGATCTCAGAAATTCAAACCAAGAACAGAATATTAAAAGCTGTCAGAGAAAACAAACAGATCACCTAGAAAGGAAAATGCATCAAAATCATGACAGACTTCTTGACACAAACTATCAAATCAAGGACAGCTTGTAGTGAAGTATTCCAAGCCCTGAAAGAAAATAGTCTCCAGCACAGATTGATGTACCCTGCAAAACTATCTCTCAAAATTAATGGAGAAACAAGATATTTTCATGACAAAGAGGAACCTGGGGAGTTCGTGACCACAAATCCAACCCTAGAAAAAATACTGAAGGACATTCTAGAGAGAGAAAAAATCCACCAGGGTCTCAGAAATAGTGGCAGAGAGGCCTCAATGAATGGGGCAGACAGTGGAATGAAGGAGAAAAGTAGACAACCAGTGGCAGAAAAATAGCACAGCAGAGATGAGGCAGAGAAGGTTGGCTATAATCTCTAGCACAGATGGCCTTTGATAAACTAACAAAAAGAAATACAGGCAGAGTACATCAGGAGACATCAAGATGCTCTGTATAGGAAATATAATTAACCTGAAAGAGGGTTTATGGACCAAAAGTCAAAGATGAGAAAACAATGCTCTATGTGAAAAGGGAGCCAGAGAGAAATAGGGGCAGGTCTTCCAGAAGCTGAGTTAAATTGGAAAGACACGACACTTTTGTGCAGTAGAGAACTATTCAGCTATAAGGAGGGAAAACCTTGTGGCTTTAACTGGTAAAGGAATACAACTTAACATCAAGCTCAGGAGTAAAAAGGTTCGGACTCAGGTAAATAGTGGGTTGCCCCCTAATCTAAAAAACTAAAGAAGTTAGTGGGATCCAAAATGTACATTGCACCCTGTGAAAGTGACAGGGGAGGAGCTGTCTAAAAAAGGAAGGTAGTGGACATTGTTAATAGTGTATTGTCGTGAGTATCTAGGGTACTCTGAACTCCGGGAAAGGCAAACACGCAAACACGCCTGACCGGGACACGGGGGGTGCAGTGCTCGGAAAGGAAAACAGGAGAGACACGGCACTTTTACTGCCTGCACCGCGTTGCACTGCACTGCACTGCACTGCACGCACAATCTTTATTTTAAGATTCATATATAGTAAACCGGATCAGTTCACAGAGCCCAGACAATTAAGTAGTGAAAAGGCATTCTTTGTGACAAGCTACAATGTGACAGACTACAATGTTTATTCTAAACTATCTAAGTGAAGTAAACAATCACAACCAGTTCTCCTAACTCCTCTAGCTCAGAAGGAAATTCATTAGCCTAAGAATGATGTTAATTTTGTCTGCTGTTAGTGTCACAAAGGGTGGCCAGCCACTTCCTCAAGACTTCTGCAAAACAAAGCCAGCTCACACAGTATGGTTTCCAGAGGGTGAGAGATCTCACTGAGAACAGGCATTCCTGTCCTACCTCTGTCTCGCATACCGGGGGCTATTGTATATTGCAGGTCTGAGGGGGTTGGGGCCTTCAAAGTGACACCTCATCCCCCACAGTGTATCAGGATTTAAAACCCACATTGCTCTCATCGCTCTGTTTAGTTTGATTCTATGCTGTTCCAATCTGTTTACTTGTACTGGATTTGAAGGCACATACAGATATTCCAAAAATACCAGGATATACTATGATAACTATCCTTAATTTCCTATTAACTTAATCTGAAGCCCTGTATTACATACATTGTCTTATTATAACTGATCTTATTTGAATCTGGTTTGTTAGATTGCTGTCTTGTCTCAACTGATTTTATTCAAATTTGTTATGTTTGAAAGTATCAAGTCTGAGAGTATAGACAACTACTCTGAAGACAGTAGGATTCACAAGGATACCCATTCTGGTTTGACTATTACCTGCTATTGAAGTCTTATAATGTCTCCAATGTTTTGTTTTTATTGATATTGTTCTGTACTGCTATGTTCAATTTTACTATGCCTGATGATATAGACAATTCTATTAAAGATAGCAAGAGACATAGTAACCATTGTAGATCACCTTGTATTGTAGTTTTAATCATGTGCTGTGTCCCTCCTTTTGTTCTCAGTCACCCCATTTTGTTTTCTTTCTCACTTGGTTTTGTTCTTTTCAAAATAAAATTTAAAAAAAGAAAATATGGTATTTATACACAGTGGAGTACTACCATGCCACAAAGAAGATGAAGAAGTCATTTGTAACAAAAGGAGTGTAATCCAAGACTGTAATGTTAAGTGAAGTAAATCAGACACAGGCTTAAATTTCAAATGAGTTCTTTTTAGGAGAAACTTAAAATAAAAGTAAAGAGCCATGTATAAGATAGTAGGAAGTAGAAAGATAGGTCATCCTCCAAGGGGGAATCAAGAGATGGAGGTAGAGGGAGGAAAGGGGAGTGAAACAAGCATTGAGCTATGTTCTGCTCATGTGCACTCCGTACACAGAATGTAAACACTGTGGATTGCAAACATGTGCAATACAAAAGAATGGGGTAAAGAGACAGAACAGGGAATATTCCAAGGAAAGAGACACTATGGTAACTACTGTTATGTCTGGTTGTCTTGTGGTGAAACACTATGTTGCTTAAATTGTTCTGTTCTGACCTGTGCTGTTGTGTTGTTATGTCCTCTTTCATCTCAACTTCCTTATTTATTATTTATTTAAGGGAAAAATAAATTAAAAAATAGCAGGATATATTATAGTAACCATTTTGATTTCCAATTAACTTGATTTGAAGCCCTGTATTTCTCTCACCATCTTGTTTTGAATGATTTTGCTCTATTATGTTTTGCTTGATAGTAGCAAGTTTGAGGGTATAGGCAACTACTTGGAAGACAGTAAGATTCACTATGATGCCCATTCTGATTTGACTATTATCTTCTTTTGAGGTTCTGTAATGTGTCCAATGTTTTGGGTTTATTGATTTTGTTCTGTACTGTTTTGTTCAATTTTATTATAACTGATAATATAGGCAATTCTTTTTAAGATAGCAAGAATCATTATGGTAATGATTGTTGATCACCTTGTATTCTGTTTTTACATCATGTACTATGTCCATCCTTTTGATTTAACTGACTCTGTTTTGTTTTTTTCACATTTGGTTTTTATTCTCTTCAAAAAAAAAGCAATAAGAACTGTGGGAGTAATAAAACCCAAAATGTGCAATTGTTATTGTAAAAAAGAGAGGAAAAGAAAGTACTCTAAAGGATACAACTGCATGTATATTTAAGTGTATAAGATACATAACCATATTACTGAGTTTTTTTGGATCATTGAGCACAACTGTTTGCAGTCTCACTGAATGTCCACTTTGTATGCTTTAATTTTGTAACTTGAACAACTATTTCTAAGGTGACAATATGTAATCTATTAACTAGTGCTTTCTTACTGTTTATTTTTTGAAATTCTGTATTACTTGTACCCTTTTTCTGTTTTGTTTTGTTTTTCTCTTTAAATAAAATTTTAGAAAAAGGAATCAACCGATAACAAAAGCTGGAGAACTGCGTGGGAAAAGGAACATTCTTCACTGTTGGCGGGAGTGTACACTGGTGCAACCACTGTGGAAATCAATATACAGATTTTCCACACAGCTAAGATTAAAGGTCTCATTTAATTCTTCCCAGAATAATTAGAAACATCATACCACAGCAATATATGTGCTCCCATGTTTGCAGCACCACAATTCGAAATAAGTAGATCTTCGAACAACCCAAATTCCCATCAACTAAGGAATGATAAAAAAAGATGTTTTTTTTAAACATATACTGTAGTGCTATTCAGCCACAAAGAAGAATAAACTGGAGATTTTTATAAATAAATGCATGCTACTTAAGACCATACTCATCAGTGAAATAACTCAGAATCACTTATGTAAACATCATATTGGCTCCTTGCTTTGAGAAAATGAAAGAGCAAATAGGAAGAAATTGTTTTACAGTAAAAAGGAACTGGGACAGGGGAAAACAGAAGGGACAGAGGGAAAAGGGAAAATATGCAAGTGGCTTATACCAGTAGTGTCTGCTAGTTAATGGAAAAGTAAGGTTTGTGCTAACATCGATTGGAGAAAATTTTTTTCAGAACATAACAATTTAAGCAACATAGTGTTTCACCACAAGACAACCCAACATAATGGTAACTGCCATAGTGTCTCTTTCCTTGAAATATTTGAGTATAACTTCGTATACTATAGCATCAAACATATCAAGACAGTGTAAAACCATTCAAGAGAATGACAGTATTACAGGGTATTTAGAACCAACTAACAGAAAACGAACAATGGTTTCTATATTATCTCCTTGTCTATAAAAATTTTGCTTATACTATCACATATAATAAAATCTAATAAGATACAACATGACAAAACTGATGGAAACAGAAGAACAAAAGTTTGGTGGGACTTCAAAACAAGATGGTATTAAATCAGCACTAGCTATTATACTATCTTGTTTTCTTCAAAATAGCTGTTCATACCATCACATACAATAAAATCAAACAACCCAGAATAAAACCATTCCACTTAATGAATGAAAACATTATAAGGCTTCAAAGCAATATAATGGGGAATGATGA